TGGTACATTAATTCTTATCAGTTATAGTGGATTTACCCTCAACTATTTAAGAATGTCTCTAGGAATATTTAACATTCTAATAATATATCTTATTATCATGCAAATTAACATTTTTTTAAATTGACACTTAAACATTAAAAACCGGACAAACATAGTCTATAGCACGCGTAGAGATATATCTGAATACAATTGCTTTGAACATAATATTATTACAAACAACAGACGGACAAACGCGGAAGTCCGAAAACATCTCGAAAGCCGGATTTTTAAATTTCACATTTCTATACGGGGCAAGGGGTCGGTGGCTTACACTTATATCTTGAATTTTTTACAAATTTCTGAAGGATTTCCTTGGTTAGGTTAGGTTAAAAAAAACGCTTTAAGTTGGTTAGATCAGTTAAATTAGCTCCTTCAGGTAATTGTGTTTTTATTGATTTATCGTAGAACAAACTAACTCAGTACCATGCATAGCGAAATGTGATGTCAGAAACATTTACCGATTAGCAAAGAAAAAAATAAAAGCTAAACCTGTTCGTTTGGCGTTCATTTATACGTTTATTGTAAAAATATTCAATTACAGAACTTTAAAATCTTTCATTTGCGCCTCTGTGATCAGAGCACCTGGTCATGGGCACCTCTCATACCTTCCTAGGTACAGCTATTTTTTTTTTCATTCTTATAGACTCCGTCGAATCGGGGGGGGGGACTGCGTTAGCATTGTTCCACCCGGCCTGGCCAACCCTTCTTAACAGAACCACCTTTCAAAAGGCGAAGCAAAACATATCAGACAATTAGGTGATGTTATCGCCGAAGTCACGGCCCTGAACTAACTTAACCTAACCGAACCCAGAAAACGAACTAAACGAAATATGTTTATATATAAATTTAATATGCACACTCAATTGAAACTATCTTTATTTAATTTTAAGTATAAATATCTATAATCAGTTACAGTAATAATTTTACATTTTTTTTTTCACTCGAGAACCTTTTCATAACTTTTTCTATATTTATATTGCATTATTACCTAATGTCTTTGTGTGTGTGTGTGTGTGTAATTAATTAAAATCGGTAGGTCTGTTGAATATGGTCAAGATGAATATGAACGAATAAGCTAAGTTTAGTATACACGTGTTTACCACAAAGACAACTACAGAAATCTGCACCTGACATAAGACCAGGTTGTGTAGACCCATTGCTGACTAAAATACTGAACTGTATAGACATTAGACATCTAGTTTTAAACACGATGTAGGCACCATAGTTTTAAATAAACAGTAAAACATAAATCTGGTTAGAAAAAGTCTAAGTGGGGGATCATCACGTCACGTCGCCCCCTCTATAAATCAACCCTTTTCATATATAAATAGTATAAATATATTAAGGAATAGAGTTAATTTGGAAAGTATACATGAAATTGAATAAACATGTCGTTAGTGACATACTCCTGTTCCCGACGAATAATATTATTAAAAATTGTATAGCGTTCAGTCGAGGTCGTTACGTGTTTTTCCGGTCCGTCCAATGTCGTGGCCGTTTAATAATACGACAATATGTATATCGTCAGCTACCCAGCAAAAGTAGTTTTTTTATGTGTGTGTCAGTAAACAAGTTTCCTACCAGAAATCTTGCACGATTCAAAAATATTATATCGGACCTATCTTGTAGAATATTTGATCTCGTTGGTTCATTGAGATGGTCAATATTGATTTTCCTTGTAGTTTTTTAATGATAGTTTTCTAGTCACAGTTTTGTAAAATTTATTAAAATCAACTCACGAGATTTCATTGGATAGCCGACAATATTCAATTTTAAACTAATAAGTATAAAAGATAATGCTGATGAGTGATGATTGTGTATTTGTGCTACTGGAAGAAAGACTGTAAAGGAAGGTGTAAGCCGTAAGGTATAGAAGGAATTCAATTTGTATTCATTCTACGAGAAGATAAATCTTTGGTAAGGAAAAACGATTTAGATAAAAGTTCGGTGAAATGTGTTTTGAAACACTGTGATTTTTGTGATACCCAAACAAATTTGAACTTTCAAAACTTTCAATATAAAAATACTGCATTACGTCAGAATGATTTGAAAACAGCAACATTTTTAAAAAGTACTTATTCAAGAATTAATTTCAAGTATTTGTGATTAGTTCTAACCTTATAACAAAAAAATTAAAAAAGCGAAAATAATATTTTCCCATTTCTCTAATGTTTTTTTGTCGATTATTAAGAAAACTACAAGGAAAAACAAAAAATGTCCACCTCAATGTAGGCTGATGATTGGAACAAGACTTCTGGTAGAATTAAAGTTGTTCACGCGCATAATAAAATACAAATTATAGTAAAACCATTACATTCACTTAGTTTAAAATTTAAAATTATTTCATATTATTCACCATAGTATGCAGAAACTTTATCTACGGTTAATTACCGTGTAGGTAGGTATAGTAAGAAATGCGCAATGTATATAAAATACCAAAATATACACACACTATGCTAAAATGCAAATATAGTGATTATGTTTCCAGGGTATTTCGTAATATTGTATAATTTTAATAAAAAATTCACATTACCGCACGTCCCGGCCACTCGAAAAGAAAAATTCAAAATATTTTTAAAATTAAAAAAAATACGAAAATCACGTACGTACGAATAAAAACAGTATACGTCAAAAAATAAACACGCACCGCATAGGCAGACACGATAATAACTAAAATATTAGAACTATTTTTACTATCTTTATTAAATTCCGCTTTTTAAACACGCACGCATGAGTAAAAATATAAAAAACATCGGTCTAACGGGGGAATAATTTTTTAAAAGTACAAATTTCAAGCTTCTTTCACGGTTTATTTTTATGAAGTACGATCGTATTTTGGGGTTATTTTTAAATTTTTAGCAAAGCGATGAATGTATCGGTTTTAATTTACAATGTTTCTTATTTTATTTTTATTTTTTATACTGTCTACTAAATTTCTACCAGAAATCTTGATCCGATTTTCAAGTGTAGCACCGTTTTAGAAGGGAACGCATATTTCATAATAATTGGAAAAAATGTAGAAAGAACGGGAAAATTCACGAAAATAATGCTTTTATTATTTTCACTTAGTTGTTTTGTTATAATTTAGTTATAAATGTTCTTAACTTGTGTACGTCATTATTTAAAACCAAATAAAAAATCGGGTTCAGTGTAACATTTTGTATATCAGTTTAAAACAAATGTTAGGGAAATATTATGATGTCAATGAATTATTCCTATTCCCGCAAAGTCATTTTCGTCCGTAAAAACGAGCATGCTCCTTCTCTTAAATGGGTATTGGACAGTAGATTAATGGTCATTGTAATATTTAAAGTAATAACTAACAATAAAGTAATCAGTAATTTTAAAATTTTACGAAGTGGAGACAATTTGGAAATACGACACCAGAGCTCTTTAAAAAAAATTAATACCTACGATTTGAAGAAAAACGATACTGTATTCGGTGAGAAAAACACAGTGTGAGGGAAAAGTATTTATCTGTATACATTATGTAGAGGTCCTGGTAAATTCTGAAAATTGCATGGCAAAATCTGGCAAACTCTTGGTGAAGTTTCAGAATTTGCCAAGACTTCCGGTGCCAACTTGATAATTGCATGGCAAAATCTGGCAAATTCTTGGTGAAGTTTCAGAATTTGCCAAGACTTCCGGTACTAACTTGATAAACATATGTATATAAATTACCTATATTATATAATATAATATTATTTTTGTTTCACATCTTGTATATTATAGTAAATTAAAAAGCTGGAAGTACTTGACAGCCATGAATAAGTCACTGCTGTACGTGGAAATTTCGGATGGCTATATATACTATGATAATAATTTAATGTATTAAAAGCAACGATAATTCGTTGTAAACAAAACAAAATTCTGACCGGAGCTTTGTTACAGATAAAGTTATTAATCATATTAGCTATTAGTTTTTTTTTTCCTTTGTAGCCAAGATAACCCAGAAATCAACATTTTTTGTCAGTTTTTTTTTTTTTTTTAAATTAACTACCACCGGTCGAAAAATCTACATTTTTAAAGGCATATTATACAATGTGCATTTTTACTAACCGGAAAAGTGGTTTCCGACAACAATTAAAACACATTTTAGTACAGTATAGTAATAGGCGCAACTAGACCATCAACTTTAGGGGTGGTAAAATTATAGACACATCACAGACCATATGGGTGATACCTCAACAATCCCCTTTACACAACATTCAAAATAAACAATTGCACATTTCATTTACAATTTTTATGTAAAAACGTATTATAACTTTTTAACTTTATTTTTTGTGTACACATATTGTATTGTCTGTAGGTAATCTGTATTTTATTCCGCTTATCAATTATGAAGTAAACGGATAAAATATTTAGTTGACGATATAAAAAAAGCATATTGCGCATTTTTGAGAGTGCAAATTTTAAACTCGGGGTGCCAAAGACCCCCTAGCACCCCCTGGTTAAAATAGAAATAAAATTTGGAAAATAATTTAAAGGGGACTTTTCAGCGTCGAACACTTCCTCGTATTCGTATACTTACCACGGTCGTGGTAACAACCGATTATTTTATAGTTTCGTTTCGTTCGGCTTCGACTCGCTCGCATAAGAAAAAAAAAATCGGGACTCGCACGCGCCGCGGCCACGCGTTTCGTTCCGGCCGATCGAAGTTAACAGCGGGCCCACGTCGTCGTCGGACCATGGCGTGGTCCTGTCGCGTGTCCGCCAGGGCCTCGGTCGGGTTCGCGCCGCCGTTCCCGGTCCGGACCGTCGACGACGACGTCATTATACAATTGCGAATCGATGGGTCCCGCGGGTAATGACGCCAGGCCTCAACTCCCGCCGCCGCATCCGCCTACTCGGTACCACGATGGGCGGGAGGGCGACGACGACGCGGATCAGCTGACTACGCACGCGCCGCCACCGCGGCCGCCTCCGCCGTTCGTCGTCCGTCGCTCGTGCAGTCAGTCGTCGACGCGCGTCGTATTGACGTTAGTGTGCGTGTCCGCCATCTCGCCCGTCGTTATCACCGATCCAACGGTTTTAATAGTGTTGTTGATTACACGGATTTCTAGAACCGCTGGAATCCGTCGGATCGCGTTTGTGCCGTTTCGCCCGACCGGAAAAGATAAAATTCGGTATTTTTTTTTTTTGTCATCACTTTTTTAATCGTTTATTAATAAGAACGCGGTCGTGCCGCCGTCCGTCCGCCCGCCCGCCCGCCAAAGTATTTAACGGCGTTAAGTTTTTTTGACAACGTGTCCCCGAGACTCGCGGCGACGACGCAGGCGGTTGTTATGCTGTGCGACGACCGGCCATGAGTTCGCCAAAGTCGTCGGATAGAAAATCGTCAAACAGGAAACCGTCGTTTTCGCACCAGCAGCGGTCGTCCAACGAGGACATCTACCAGCCGGACGAGTACGACACGCCGGTAAGCGGACAGACGAATGCCGACACACATAATATTATTATTGTAATAACCTGGTCGGGGTGGTTTCGTAATGTGCGCCCGGAGAACTCGCACCCGCACCCGGTGCGCCCACGTACCCGTAACAATTGTACACCGTCGGGGACGTTGATTAATTCCGTTCTCGTCGGCGTCAAAGACCTTTGCGAAAAACCACGCCAGGGGGAACCCGGCGCGTCGCGACCAGCGCCCCCGGCGGCCCGTCGCGAAACGTCTATATTTAACTTCCGCAGCGTGGATTACCGGGTTCGGACCGCTCGTCCGCCAGCCGCGGACCGTTGTGTTATTACGCACATGGTGTCCGGGAGCGTACCGTCGGGTGTTTAAAAAACGCACTTTGCCGTTTCGCCCGCGTATCGATTTCGAAATTCGCCGCCCCAGCCCCGGCCGTGTCGCCGCTCCCCGTATGCAATTGTACGTCGTCGTAATACAGACACTACTTGCAGTGCACGCCGGTATAACCCGACTTTTTTTTTCTTTTTTTTTTCCTTCCGGGCGGACGGCCGATGTTGAGTTATCGTTCTCCCCGTATCGCGTTTCCTCGGGACGTTTTCGTGTTGTACGACACAATATCGCGTTATTGACACGGTATACCGAGACACCGTCAATACGATTCGCCGAATTCCGCGGCCGCGTCGATTACACGAGAATTTTGAAACGTACGCGTAGTTTTTGTTTTCTCTCTCTCTCTCTCTCTCTCTCTCTCTCTCCCCGACGAGTTTTAGCCGTAAGCGTTCAACAGTCGCGGGCGTGCGAAAACGCGTTTTCACGTGAATTTTCCGACCGAACGTACTGCCGCGTTAGGTTTTCGCGCATAAGCGTGTCGAACGTTTTACGAAATACGCGACGGTAACTATAGCCGCCGTACCTACCCGTGTCCACCCACGTCGACCGTCGACACGAAATAATATCGGCGAATCGGTTGAATCTGTTACGTTTATATTTTTAACGCTCTGTATGTAGGTAGGTATACGCTGAAAGTCGATGGTTGGTGAGTATTGGTTTTGTGTTTACCTACCTATAATGTTATTGGGCGTGCGGTCGTGTCAGTCCCTGCCGTAGTTGCTGTTACGCACTCGTATATCGTCGCAACACCCAATATAATGATATGTACAGCCTGTTGTATTCGCCGTTTTTTTTTTTTTTTTTTTTATCATTTCATTTCAATATTCTATCCGGCCGAAAACAAACACGATAATATTATACCTGCCTACCGTTGTTAAAAATCGTTAAATAAATAAGAAAACACGAGTTCTGTACAGTTTGCACCCCACTTCCTAATAAGTAGTAGTAACAGCATTCCGTTGCGTATTATTGTGTTCTATTTAGTTTACGTCCTTACACTGCTGTAGTTCTGTGGGCGCTGTGACGAAATTCCCACAGAATTAACCGAAACAAATATACAAATACGAATGGGTTAAGTTGCATCTGCGGTTTTAAATTGTAGCGGATTTTTGTTTTAATCCGGAGTTTTAACCGAGTTTTCACCCGGGCAAAGTACAAACAAACGAAAAATATCATTTTATCTCATAATTCTGTCGTCGGATAGATAATGTACATATTGTATTTTATTATTTTCTCCCAAAACTGTGTGTTTATTTTTTTATAATTTCATTATGGTTATTGATTAGGTACTGAAAATAGTACGAATAACGTGACCGTAAATTATAGTATCGTTCATAGTTCTTATCAACGATGCAGCCGTGCAGTGAAAGCTAATGAAAACAATTATAGTATTATTATCGTAACAATTATAAGTTAACTCGACTATTGATGATTAGGTATAGTGAAATATACAAAACAAATTTCGATTAAAAGTCTGGTTAAAATTTAACCGAAAATCAATTCAATTTGTTAAGTTGAAAGCTAAATGAACTCGAGCTATGATCGACCGGTTAATTTTAAACTCGAAAATGATCAATTCCTGTTTACTGTTTAGTGACAGTTGGGAATCGTATAAATTCCCGAATCGGAGTAATCGAGTAAAACCATAAATATATAATTATATCGATCGCGGTAAAACCGATTATATGTGAATGCATGTTCGAATTTCAAAAAAAAAAAAAAAACCAACTCAATCGTTCATCTTCAACCCACATTTTAACTAGACTGCGGGATATTTATGGAAATTTGTTTAATGAAAACTTAATGATTAAATGAGTTGAATAAAAAAAAAAATCATCTCGAATATTAATGAGAACTTCAAAAAATGACCTCTCTAAATTACCCAGAGAACATTTCCTTTCAGAAAAGATGCTATACTTGATGGTCGGAGTATGTGTTTTGGTAGAAAAAGAGTTCACATAAAAAATAAATAAACATTGTAAAACCAATACATTCGTCATTTCTCGTTTCACTCAGAATCTAAAAGAATGACGTTCCATATGCACTAAGTATATCATAAATTTTACACAAAATTTCCTATAAAGTTTTTGATTGGAGCAAGATTTGTGGTAAAAAAGTCGTTTACAGAAAAAAAAAAACAACACATTTTAGTGAAACCCGAGGTAAAACCAATTCCATGGTTCACACAGAATCTGTATACTTTCGAAATAATAATAAACTTACCTAATGTTGAATACGATTTTTAACCTATAAATATGTCAATCACCGTCGGGTTTATAGGCTGCTATGTACGATCGGGGTACCCGTTTCGGTCCATTTTCGAAAATCCACCGTAATAATATTTATTATCGAGATGTTAGGATTAACTGTAGAGTTCGAGATTGTATGTACTTGAAATCTACAAAAAATCTATCAAAAACGTCAAACAAGCCTTGAAAACGCACTTAAAACAACACAAAAATGGTAGTATGTTTTTAAAAGCCCCCCCCCCCTCTAACGGCTCTTAATTTATAAAACACAATTTTCGAACATTACTACAAAAATGATTAACACAAGTATTTAAATTATAAGTATTATATATAAAAAAAAATTATGTTAATCGTTTTGTAGTATTAGACAATTGCATTTAATGGTAAGTGCCGATACGAGGGGGAGGGGTGAGAGTTTTAAACTACTCTGAATCCTCTGTCACTTTTGATTTAAATAAAAAATTGTCAGGGCTCTTTTGGCATTTTCAAGCGGTTTTCTGTGGATTTTAAACGCACAAAGTCTCGAGTCCTAGTTATCAGGCGTCTATACTCGTATGTTTCACCCTCCCCCCACTCCACCACTCGCCCCTTACTCACTCATTTTTCACCGGCTACAACGGAGCACTTCGTCCTATAAAAATTCAATTCGCGAAAAGATTCAATTGAAAACGAAACGATACATTTTGGTCTTCGTTTATGTTATTCGTAGTCTGATTATTTTCGCCGTCGTCGTGTAATTTTCGTGGTCAGAGCGCACGAAACTGCGAAGTGTGCGGATTAATAATTTATTATTGAACCCGTAGACACTCCAACGGTCATTAATCATAACAACAATAATAACATTATTTACACGCATAAATAAACCAGCGGCAGGTACCCATATTCCCGAACAGTGTTATTTTGATTGCGTAATATGCCGGCAAGACCGTGGAAATTCGAAACACCCGTGCACTCGAAAGTAACGTCTACGGTTATCGCGCGCACAAACTGATACGATAATTCGGTACAAAGTCGCATAACTGCAACGGTTTCTCCCGACGTTTATTTTCGCGCTTGTTTTTGTTGTATTTGTTTTTTCCGCTCCATCTGTTACTTCGCGGACTTTGCGGCGTTTTCGAGCCGCTTTTTATTCCGCGCGGGAAGGTCAAATTTTTATTTGCCGCCGTCAACAATTTGACTTTGGTACGCCGCCGTCATGCCGTTCCGAGCCGCCGTTTGTGACGTATGCGCGAAACGAGAAATGCATTGATTTTCAATGTGATTTGTTATTTGTGTTTTTTTTTTTGTTTTATTTTTGTTTCTACAATCGATTTTCTACCAGAAAGCTTACCCCGACATATACGATGCAGACCCTTTTCAAATGTGAAACACCGGGAAAAAACACGGAAAACCCGGGAAAAACATGGTTTATCGTTGTTTACAGATACAAATTAATTTCCCCTATATACCCTACCGTCTCAACTTCTCGCCAAAAAAATTGGCTGAACCCATCGTGCGAATTTTTTTTAACCTTGTCGGTGCCATAGTTTCCTTAATAAATGAGAGAAACTGGCAATTTATCGTACAATTCCCGTCGATTTCCGAGTCACCTTGGCTACAATCGAAAAAATACGACTAATAACACTCCGCTCAGAATCGGTTTTCGTTAACAAAATGGTTTATCGTTGCGTACAGATATAATAGTTAAATTGTTCCCTCCCTTCCCAGCAGTGGTATCACTATATTTTTATCTCTCGAATACCATTCCTTCACGCAGGGATATCGATTTATTTAGTGCACCTATATCAATATTATAATATTATACTCTCGACCCCGTCACCGTATACGATTGGAGTTCTCGGTTTGCATAATATTATATAAGGAGGGTGACTTTGGCCGCAACATTCACGGTTTCCTGCACCGAATCCATTTATTATAAGAGAGGGGTTACGAGCACCGTACACACAGTGACTCATCGACAAGGCTCGTAGACAGACGTTATTGTTAAAATATGTTACGACCGTATCAAAAAAGCAGTAATAATATATTACGATAATGATGCGGGGTAGATTATACCTATAGTCTGCGTTTAATTTCCACGACGCATATTCTGTTACAAGTTTTTCGGTTAGTAAAAATCCTCCGAAATCACCGAACCTACCGCGTACATTAAAAGTTGCCGATTTTCCGTCCGTTGCTGCGACTTTGTTTGATATACGGTTTTCTAAATACATTTTTCCAGAATATATATCACCGTTTACAAATGTCCGCGATACACCGGTTTTGGACACAATCCAGAGACGTGAAATTTGTTGGATCTATACAGACGGACGTATTGTCTTCATCAACACTCAAATTATTTTTGAAATTTTGCTTTTTTTTTATAGTTCATAACGGTTTAATGTTTTGTAGTAATTTTATTTTTGATTTTTTCCCTTGCCATAGATATCATTTATTATATATATATATATATATATATATATCTATATTATGCAAGTGAAATATTGATTACTAAATTATATTTAAATGTTTGGCAGTTTATCGTTCTTTTCGTATTCTGTTTTACGTTTATCCCCGTAACACGTTGAATTCCAATGTTTCTTTGCCGGCGTTCGCGATGAAACAAAACGTTTGAAATGAATTCCGCCGACCGAATAATAATAATTATTATATTGTTGTCACGATAATAATAATAGTAATCACATCCTTTGCTTCCCCGTCCGTTAATAATCATTATTGTACGATGACTAATAATCTGACACGTGCCGCTGTGTATACGTTACGATGAGGCGGTAATATTATATCAAAACACAATACAATTGATATCCGAGAAGAGAGTTTTTTTCACGTAGATAGCACGCCGTGTACAATAATAATTGGATTGTGGTTTCGTATTTGTGATTTATCACACTGGTTTTTTTTTAAACACAGTACTTGATCAATACTAAAAGTCAATTCAATTATTGACACGAATCCAATGATTTTCTACTATATGTTAAGCTTTCTTCTACCACGCTCAAGTATGGGTTACTCTTAGAGGCCCCAGGTTTTGAAAATGTCATGTGGGGCACACTATTTTATAAACACATGTATGGTTTTACTTAAATCTTACCATACATTTCCTATTTTTATTTAACTTAAATTGTTCGTTAAACAATTGCTAAAATATAGTTATTTGTTGTTTTGTATATTATAGTATTTATTATTAGTATTAGTATCAAGAAAAATCATAAAGCAAAAATTAAAAAATGCCTGACATCAGACTCCATTTAACCAAGAACCATATGAGAACTGTTGGAGACTGAGCTTCATCTTATCAAGCTCATGAGGAGCTGCAGCCCCAAAGCCCCCTGTAGACGGCGCCCCTGGCTACTCTTATTCTCCACCTACCATAATATTCCTTCCGGTACCCGTCATTATTTCTTCGTCTACTACTCCGTCGCGTGCCCTCATATCTCATATACTAATAATAATAATCCCCCCCCTCTCTAGTGTAATTCATAATAATTCGATTCCATCGCGTAGCGGACGATACCAATATAATTGGTCTTCTCCGATTTTCTAAAAAACTGTCTCTTTTCTCTCTGTCGAGTGTCCGTCAACATTTTTTAAATTGTTTACTGTATTTAAAGCGTTCATGAAAAGGACAATGTTTTCAACATTTGGACGCCAGATAAAAAAAAAAAAAGAAAAACCTGCGTTGTACCTACGATCACAACGAACGGTTTAATTACCGATTGTATTTTTTATTATTATTTTTTTTTTTTTGCGACTACTGCGATGTTCCGCGGCAGACGCGCCAGTTCATTAAAAACAAAAAAATATAAAATAAACACTTGTCGCTGTAATATAATTAATATACAGTACTAACCATGATACGCGCAGTAAAAATGCATTTTACCTTGCGTACTGCTTTATTGTATTCAACAGATCGGATATTCTCACGCTATTCTTAATTAAGCACACCGAAAATCTTGAACTGTCATTTCCGCGGTTCACAACCGTTCGAATTTCAATGGCGTTTCCTACATATTATTTGTGTTTGTCGAAACATTTTTTTTGATATTATTTTTCTCTTGTCAAATGTCTTTAATTTACAATACTGCGTAATGGGCCGCCGAATCGTGTTTTAGGTTTTTTTTTTTTTTTTTTTTNTTTTCTCTTGTCAAATGTCTTTAATTTACAATACTGCGTAATGGGCTGCCGAATCGTGTTTTAGGTTTTTCTTTTTTTTTTTTGAGGCTTCGACTTGTCGGCACAACCAATCGTCTGAGTGGGTGAGCTAATATGTTCATTGAGTTATCTATAGTTGTGTCTGGTCGGTCACGGGTCGTCCTAATTCCTGTTTTTCCATTCATTCCCCCCCCCCATAAGATTTAAAATAAATACATATTGGGTTGTATGTAACGTGTCCAAAAAAAATGTATTCTACTCGTTCCAATCATTTTGTCGGCTTGTCTTGGCTCTTGGACCTACCATATTTATCACTTGTATACATTAGTTTTCCTTCCCGTCCGTCCAGCTTATCTTCTTAATCCTTCGCCGTGGCCAATACTTCTATTATCCTTGTACCATTGTTTTATCGATTTTTTTTTTAAATTTTTAATACACTGTTTGGGTCAAATATTAATTTCATAACGGACCCGTGGACAGCTGTAGTTCTTAAAATTTTAGGTATTATTCGGCTCTATTCGGTTTCTAGCCGATAACGTGTAGCTATTTTAATTAAAACGGTCCGACGAACACATATTATTATTATTATTATTATTGTCTTTCGTCGGCGGGCTTATAACCAGGAACGTTAATTACATCGCGAAAATATTATAAATTACAATTTTATTGTTTCAAAGTAGGTATACCATACACATCCGAACCACAATCGAAACGATGTACCTGTTCTCACCGCGGTCGTCGTCGTCAACGCAATACCTAACAATAAAACAATCAAACATATTATACAAACATACTTATAATAGTATCTTGTAATATTGAGACGGACCACTGCGTGTGTTAAAAATGTAACGAGAGAAAATGTTGTGTATTATGCAAACCGCATAACATGCATAACATACAGGTTGACTTTATTTATCCGACGACGGTTATTGCATATACGTAAGTTCGGACTATCCTTTTTTTCTCGGAAAATTAACACAATTTTGAAATCAAAAATTTGCATTAAAGTAGTATTTCCTATTCAAACATTTATATTATTTTATCTGGTTCACCCAGAAAAAAATTTCTAGCTATGCTTCTGTTGATTTGAATTTCGTTTTACGCGGTCTTGCGCGCGCGATATTTTCAGTATCGACTTTTGATTTTCGAAAACCCGCATTTTAAAACCCGTGTTCCAAACGTTAATGTTTTACGACCTTTTACATACCTGGGATGTTACGGTTCTGTACATTCGATTAAATTCAAATTGCTCAAAAATGTTCGAGTAGTTCGTAAAGTATTATAGTAGGTTCTTGATGAAAGAATCGCTCTGTATATGATGGGGGGGAAAAACGGCTGTACGTACATAATACGTATATAATAATACTAATTTCGTAATAATGTACGTACCTGTAACGAATATTGTCGTGTCGGCGTCATCGTTCGTGTTTGTCTTTCGAGTATAGGTTTGTAGGTTCGATCATAATGTAATCACTTTTTAAATTCTGCGTTGGCTAAAAAAATAACGATTTTATGTATATTGTAATATCGTTCGGTCGTGTTTACTGATAACGCGTTAAATATAATACTATATGATGACGTCATTGGGCGGATGCACAGCGGCGATATTTTGTGAAACCACAAAGGATATAATGACGCTGACGCATATGTAACAGATTACAATAATCGTCAAAATATTATAATAGTAATAATAATATATTCTCGCGGAATTTTTTTTAAATTTTATTTACATATTTTCCGTCGGCGTTTTATTGCAGCGGTCGCATTCGCCCGTTTCGACGTTAAAACCGTGCCAAAAACTGCAGTCGGAACATATTTTTTTTCATCGGCGGCGGTGGTATTTTTAGACGACAACGATCGATTTGCCGGTGTGCGCAGTGGGATACACTTTATATAGTATTTGACGGTTTTTATTGTCGCGTCCACCGCAGGTCGTTGGCTTTTTATCGTCTTTTTCTTTTATATTTATATCAAACGCCGACTGAGCTCCTCAAAGTGGATAGAAACGTTAATTATAAAAAAAAAAGCCATTCGGGTCACTAGGGCAACCCACGACGATGGGAATAATAAAAATAAGATTAATTTACATTGATTGATCCGGCAATACTGTAACAAGCTTTCGATTACCATCGCGTTACAGTTTTCCGGATTGTCGTAAAAGGTCGTAAACGAGCAGAAGTGACAGAAAATAGAGCATTATGGTTTTCATAAGAAGACGTTCTGTATATATTTTATGACAAAGGAAATTACGTTGTTAATATTATAGTAAAGCTAATGATTAGTGCTTACTAACCGTTCGGGAAACCTTCGTCAAGTCTCAGTGACCTGCAAAGGACGATTTCATTGCATTTTAGACTACGAGAAATTTTTTTTTTTAGATTTTAGCGTTATGATCGTTTTTACGGTTATTGAAAATGGTTCAAAATGTCCACACCGTATAACTCGAACAATTTTGATTTAATTACATTGATTTTAGATTTGAATTTCGCAATTTAAAAATGAATTTTGCACCGCATATTGGAAACCACTGCTCAACAACAACCACAAATAATAAACTCAAATAATATTTTTATATCAACTCGTCATCAATACAACAAAATAATGTATTATACGCCATGCGAACGGCGATAATTAAGCAATTGCTATTTCGAGACGAGTACACGCCGCACTGAATATTGTTGCGATTGCGCGCCACAACGACGAGTGTAATACATATTAATATAATAATATTGTCACGATGTAAAAATAGAGAGCTACTACCGTTTTCTTCTTTATGTCTATATTGCAATATATTATTATTCGCGGTCGGTAGAACGGCAGAAAAATAAAAAAGGTCTCGATTGGCGAAACGGCACACCCAACGATGATACGCACCTACCTATAACAATAATATTGTGCGCGCAGTGTCCGATGTGCTTTCACTCGACAACGATCGTTGTCTCCGACAGGTGACCGCCCAGCCAAGGTAATTATAATTAACGACTAGTTATTTTTTCCGGTAAATACCGAGTAAATGGTATTTAACGGGCTCGCCTGCGAGGCCCGATTATGCCCGGAGCCTAAGAGCCCGGGTTCCGGGCCCTGAAATATCGAAGGCCCCGGAAGGTGCCTTTATTCTCGGAACAAAGTAGTAATATTTTAAGTTTAATATTATGTTTATTGAAAATCTATAAATCAAAATGTTATTTGTTTTATTTTCATTCGGTTAGGTAACAATATTTATATAACATGTCTTTAATTCCGAGTCTGAAGCCTATAAGTTGAAAAAAAAAAATTAAAAATAGAGGGAAAACTGTAAAAGAAGCTATAAACATTATTACATAAGGATTCCGTGTCAGTTATATACGTCATGGGGTTTTCGTCATCCAATTGTTTCCGTTTTTCTAATAGGGAGCGAAGCATATCAATTTGAGCGGAGGGTTCAAATTGAATTCTAAAATAGTTTTCTAGATCTGACCAATTATTTTTAATGTTATCAGAATTTTGTATATTTTCATACGTTTTTAATGCGGTGCCCTCTAGAAAATCCGGGAAGTATTGGGTTTTGTCTTCGTCAGACCAGTCATTCATTGACGCACACATGTTGTATTGGTTTATAAAAATTTCAAAATTCTCCGAAATTAGTCCAGAAAATTTTAAGGGTTTAAAATATGGCTTTTTACTGGCCATCATTTTAGGTTTTCCCTGCTTGTTTGTTTGGTTAAAAGTAGGTGTTTTGTGATTTAAAAAGTAGGTATAGATTCGCCAGTAAGATATTGTAATAATCTAGTTTATAATTCGGGTAACGTTCCTACAGTAATCAAACGTCTTTTGGTTAATTCTGTTTCTATCTGATCTTGTTCTAAATTTAGAGACGTAATCTACTAATTTTGTAAAAAATTGAATATTTCGATCCATTTTTATGAATAGGTACCAAGAAAAAATTGAATTAAGCGAAAGAAAAAATTATTGTTATTTATTTATTTTAAATTATATAGATTGTTTAGTAGTTAATTAAGAATGTGTGAGTTAATGTTATTTATTATTTTTAAATAATGCTGTTGTCTGGTTCTCATTATCATGTCTTATTATTGTGTTGAAATGTTTGCCTGTTAAACATACTATTTTGTATTAATCTAAATTGACTTACAAACTGATAAATAAAGTGGTAGTCCACTATAATAAAATTTTCTGTAGATAATACTAATGTTATATACTATTATGTTGTGATATAACTAGTTGACCAATATTAAAATTATGATATGTACCATATTGCGTATATCATTAAAATATTGTACTTGTATTTTTGATACTTAAATTTGTATATAACGAAGATTGTTAAATACTTAATATATTACACATTTTTAAATATGTTGTTTTGTACAACCATTTCATTCTTATCGGTTTTTTTTTTAAAAAAAAAGAGGTAAAATTTAGTTATTAGTAATATATTGTTTAAGGGCCAATTGGACTACCAGGCTCCAGGTGGTACATTCTTAATCCGACAAAGCTCACCTGGACAAGAGGAATACAATAAATATCACTTATTAGGGAACAGCCCGATAAAAAAATAATACTATAAAATGTACATGGGCGTTGGTTTGGGTTTTCAGTTCGATGTCTTTTCGATTCTGTTTAACCCGGAAATGTGTTTTATTTTTTAAATGGTCGGAGCAGATTTTCCAAATTGTCTTCAGTTATACTAAATTTAAAAACGATTTTTTATCATTTTATGTAACCGCCTTAATCGATTTGTTAACGGTTTTCTATTTGAAATTTGGTGTGCTCAAAATAAGTACAAATTGAATGCGATTACTATCAATAAATATTTAAAAATAATATGTTAATTTTAGATGCCTTTAAAGCTGATAATTGAAAATTGACTTTCAAAATAATCTAGAGAATTCGTTAACAAATTTATATAAACTTTAAAAACATAAATCGGAGATAGGGAAAGTATGTTGTAATTTCACGCTGTTTATTGGTGTGAAATATAATGTGAAAAAAATGGGTGCTCTTCGACCCTTCGTGGCGCACGTTCCAGAGCAGTGAAGAGACGTTGGACGTTGCAGAGTTTTCGTTTTAAAAAAAAATAAATCAGTTTGCTTAATAATAAAAGCATATCATTATATAATTTTAGTTTTTACTTCTTGACAGTGGTGAGAAACACATTATTTTGGTCATCTGACTGTCCCCTTTGGGAAAATGGAAGATCCGACCACGGGTTATTCACGAACAAAACAAACGAATTTATACGAACAAAAGTTGTACTCGTAGCGATTTTTATTGTGTTGATTATGTTAGGTCGGTGTTTCTCAATTGTGCCGATTTTAGGACGCTGCCTGTATTATATTATATAGGCACATCTATTGCGCCGCGCCGATACAAAAAAAGGTATACATCAGTAGCGCCGAAACATTAATAATAATTGAAATAAATAGATATTTCTTAGTTAAGTTTTAGCGTAATTTTGTATAATTTATATTTTATAATGAGAAATTATATAATATTGGTAATTATAAATTACCAATACGATGTTTGTAAATAATTTGTTCCTTACCGCGTTCGCTTCAAATTACTTCCATTATTATTATTACTAATTATATCGATAAGTATTATTATAAAATTACTTCCAAGAACAGAAATTACGACGATTATATTATAAACTACGGATTTATGTGTGTACCAAACGAATAATATTTGTCTATGTATGATAAACCGTGCATACAATTATTCTTAGAGATATTAGATTACTACACGGATTGTCAATCGGCGTAATTGACGTATTATACTATAAACATTTTTACATTCGAACATCGACCGGCGCAGTTTTTTTCCGTCCTATAATTGTTCGTCTTTTATCAGCAATATTCTGACGCAATTGATATATTACGTCCGGTTAGATTATTATTTTATGGGAACTGTACATTTTTCCAGAATGAATAGTACCCTATGTCCGCCCTATAGTACTAGAAACTATTTTATAAATAACAATTTTTTTTTTTCAATTTTCAATAAACCGCTGACGTATTCTTCATCCTGGATTCCGATCCGGTTATGGTAATAAATACAAATTCTCTCATAAATCTAAATCGTTAATTGTTTATCCAAAAGGCTCCTGTTTGTCAAACTGTCAGTTTCCGTTCATATTCAGATAGTCATTGTGTCCGTTATGAAATTTATTATTATTATTATTATTTTTTTTTTTTAATGAAATATAACAACGGTTGGGCGAATTGCAGTTCACTGCAATAAAATACGGCAATCGAGAGTAAAAAATGATGATAATTTTTTACAGTATTTCCTGCGGATATTCCATTTTTTTTTTTTTTTTTACTGTCGCTGGTGTCCGTCTCTTATGAGTCAAACGGAGAAAAAAAATAAAGGTCAATTGTTTTTTCCATCTAAAATCGTGTACCTGCCTGTTTTTATCTTGATGGCATTATTGAAAAATAAGCCCGGAGGCAATAAATCTCGGGAAAAAAATTATCCAGAAAGAAAATTCATAAAGCTTTAAAATTCGGAATATTTAAGTATCATTTTAAATAATATTCCGCAGCACAATATTACGTCAGTTTCGGGCGGAAACAAATTAAATAAAAGTCATCACATAACAAAATATATTGTTATCGGCCAAAGTAAATAATGCGCAACGTTAAAAATAATCATAAATCGTTACACTGTGGAATTTTTTAAAACTTTGTCTGTTCTCAATATGCATACCTCTAGTGAATATTTAACACTTTCTGGTTTGGCTGTAAAGTGAATATAGACCGCAAAGGGAAAGAAACCCATAACGATTTTTCCCGGCTAAAAGGAAATCGACCTTTTTTTTCCCTTCGGAATGTAGTCGAAAAGTGAAATCGGTCGAAGGGTTTCGTCCCTCTTTTTACGGCCCGACAATGTACTATTTTGTACGTGGGTACGTTGAATTTATTACGGTCCGGCGCGTATATATGGTCCACGTATTTGAACGACCCGTGTACATTTGTGTCTATTTTCGATTTTCGTTTATTATCCGTCACTCGCGAACAAATATAATTTATTAACTGTAAAAATATTCTCGTCTCGATAACTGGTTTTTTTAAATTTTTTTTTTTTTGACGCCCCCTTCGGATTACATTTGTATGTTATCGCGGCTGACAATTCTCTCGTCACGCGTCAGTTATTAATTATTCGATCGAACAATTATACCTAATTATATTATTATATTTCGCTCGGCGACTATATTACGTTGTCGTTGAAATAGAAAGAAAGAAAAAAAAAATAACACTACTTATTATTCGATTATAAACACGTCTCGTTATTACGTATACATATTATTATATCAACAAACGACATCGTTTATATTTAATGGTCGCACAATTATGTGTCTCAAATACAGTGTTTATTTTTTCTTTTTTCAATCGTAATTTCTTTATTCTAGTAGGACTCCGGCTGCAGTAGCTAAGTACACAAGATAAACCGCCGAATTTTCAAAGAACAGATTCCGTCAGATACATTAGATTATGCTATTAACGCCGACAAATTGACAAACTGACCTCTGTACTCGACTCAAACAAGAGAAAAGTTAAAATCGGCCACCAAAAATGCAGTTACCAAGATTACAACGGCCAATCAGAGTACGGTACGACACGTCATGACGCCGCGGTCGAGTTACCGCGATAAGGATGTATCGAAAATGGAAAATTATTTAAGGGTAACATTGAATTGCGTCCCAGACTAATTTTAGACGTTGCATATTGATTCCACGGTGTCTTTTCTGTATTATGATATTGAATTGAATTTAGGCCGGAGATACGTTGATATTATAAAATACTATGCAAACAGTGAAAGGACGAACGACATCCAATGTTTGAGTATAAAATCTAAAGAATAATCCTTAAATCTTGAAGTTGCTTTATCCTCTTGGCGACCGAATGTATAGTGATCCCTCAAATCAAGCTAGACATAAAAATGGAAAGCTAAAGTAACACAAGCTGACCCCACCCAAACCATTCAACGTCGGTTACGTCTGGTAGAAATCCGCAGTGGAACATAATATGGAAAAGCATCAACAAAATGAGGGCTGGAGTTGTAAGAATAAAATCAATTATGGTAAAATCAGTGAAGAAAACACGCGTGCGAATTTGGAGATTGTCTGATAGATGCACGTCTCATACTCATCTATACCTTGAACCTAGCATAGTGCACCAAGCTTAAGATAAACTAGACTTAAGCTGACCGGACACACGCAGAAAAATACCGAGTATAAAAATAAATACATTTTAATTTTCAAAGTATGTATCATTTTAACATTTTTCCCGCGACTTATTATAATTTCTAAAAATTATTATTGTAAAAAAAAATTACCAATATGCTTAGTTGACTTTTAATATAATCAAGCAGTGCACGCATTTTTTTGGAGACTACACGGCCAAATTACTCGCGGTATTTCTTATAACTAATGCAATAAATAAGCTGAAGGGTCTCGATGCATATAACCCAAAAATATTTGTTACATTATTTGGGAGACAATTACATTTTTTTTTTTGAGCCTCAACTACGAAGATTATACAAGTTTAAATATGTCTGTCATTTCAAAGGTATACCGAATAATTGAACACAATTCCGACAACTTAAAATTATTCGAAAATACCAAACAAAATAACCGCGAAAATATCAAAATACCCGGCATGTCGTTCCTATTCGTTTCATCTTGGTGCCGTCAGTCCTACAATAATATGGCGTTCAGTTTTTTTTATTGTCGCGTTAGGTCAAAACGTTATCGGCGGCCTCATCATCATCTTCAAGGAAAATCGTTCTTATCGTCTCTATATATACAATAATAACGGCGTACGTGATTTATCGACAAGACACAAAATTATCATAATTATATTGAACTTTTAATATTATGTTGTTTTTGTTTGTTTTTCTTTTTTATCTATCAATTATGAGCACTCGACCCCGTCTTCGGCTTGTGTAGGCCAATAATATTACTATTACTACGACAATATTATAATAATAATAATCAACAATCGCTGTTCGAATAATTCATTATATTTGTGATATTGTTAAATTCCGCGAAATGATAATAAGTAGGTAACAATAAGTTTCTATACGATGTTATTACGTTTGGTATTTCGATCAGTTCTGACAGTATTTTTTTACTTAAACCTATCGAGTGCTCGACTCGCGCGGAACATACCAAGTGACATGCCATGAAATATAATCAGATATAAACTATTAATTATTTGGAAATATTTGCAGGTGCTCACCTATATTTTATTTGTTATGTGAGCCGTAGATACGGCGGCAGTTTATAGATTAGAAGATGCTATTTTTATAATAATATCTATACAGTGCAGTAACTTAAGTAAACTACGATTAAAAAGACAAGTATGTGTGACAAGTATTATATTGACATTGTAGCGTAGCTCATCGGCCACGTGCGATCAATTTTCAGTAAGAGAAGTCGCATTTTTACCGTCTCAGTTTAACTATCGGGCGGCATTTAAACTTCAATTTCAAGGGGAGAATATTTTCAAGGGCAGTTTCTAAAAGACTGTCGAACCACGAGAAAAACGGGTGGGAAGTTGAGACGGTAGGACACATAAAGCTATTTAATTTATATCTGTGTGCAACGACAATTGCTAACGAAATACAATTTTGAACAAAGTTCGGTTTAACATGTTTTGAAATTTCGTGATTTTTAAGATGTTCATACAAATTTGAACCTACTTATAAATTTAAATTAATACATTACGTTCAACTTTTTTTTGATCACTAAGCGCGACTTATTATAAAACTTACGTTAAATTTTCAAGCATTTCTGCTTGGTCAAAATGTTTGCCTGTTAATCAAGTCGAAACAGTAAAATGTGATGTTATGCTTCTTCGATCTTCTTTTGTTATACTTTTTTGGTCCAATTTTATATAGTTTTCGAAACAGGTATATTCAATTTTGATTATTGCTAAATGACATAATGGCGCATATTTGCTAATAATATACTTAATATAAATATTCCGTTATAAATGTCTTAAGTCGAATAATTATATGACTTATGCCTTTTCGCCAAACATAATGTACTTACGTCATAGTGACTTTGATATTTTAATTTTTGGTATAGCATATTGTGTTAGAACTAACATTCACTTATGTAATCTAACTCAACGTAAAAAATAAAGGGAATAACTTTCATAAGACTAAATTATAAAAAATTCCAAAAATTAACTTAACCCTTATACACTGGGAGCAAACATAAGGCCTCCTCATTGCGTAGCAAAATAACGATATTATGATTATTATTTCCATTTTCACGTCGATCGACATAACAATGTTTGGTAAAAAACAAAATCTGGTATAATACTTATTAATTAAACAATAATATTATATAAAGTAATTTTTGCGTGTATTCACATAAATTAACATATTTATTAACTTAATTTCAAGGAAAATGTTAATTAACCATATAATATATACAGAGTGATCCACTTATCACGAACCAGTAATTTTCGTGTAAGATTTTAAGTGAATTTGGTTTTTTGTTTTTTTTTTCAATTATATATGATGGAATCGTTAAAACTTTATTATAAAACTATTTTTAATTTTTATCCATATTCCTTATACTTTAAACGAGTATGTACTTTTAATTTTAAAATAAGACACTTCCTTTTTTAAACACTGATTCAAATAGAGAATATTTTTTTCAAAATATCGATATGTGTTATTAATATTGGATTTACCGCCTTATGAATTATAACCGTTAAAAATTTAGACCTGAGGATTTTGGAAGAGGAATATAGTTCATGTCCGTTTTTTGATGGTAAATTCATAACCCTTTTCTACGCCTTCGGTTTATTCTTTAAACTGTTTTAACTCATGAAATATTTTCATTTTGATATTAATGTTATGTCTATTAACATTTTCAGACAAATATTTTTTATTCAAATTCGTGTACAAAAGGGAGGGATAGTAGGATGTTACTATTTGATGAACCAAAGTTTAATAACTTTTACGTACGCAAAAGAAGGGCCAAACAATTGAAAACTTGTTAAAATAAAGCATAAACTATCATTCCATAATGATTGAAAAAAAAAAAAAAAAACAGAAATCTAATTCACTTAAAATCCTCTGTAGGTTTGCGATAAACGGATCACTCTGTATGTATATGTAATATTGATAATATTCGCGTTGTTGGGAACCACCGCACAGCAGACGGCGCACTTATTGTATATCCGTATGTGTATGATTTTCGTACCGCAGATTTTTTTTTTTTTTTAATAGAACGCGACGTGAGTCGACTAAAAAGCGCGGCACGAAGGACCCGTCTCGCACACAGACATTATTGTAATATTATTACCTACCTACTTAATTTTAAGTACACTTACGCGGCGGCCTATACTCGTATACAGCGTATACGTGGGTACTATTATTGACTTCTGCTCATGATATGTCACCTTGTGCCGTATTCTGGTGTGTGTATAATTGCCGTATTATGGCGCGGACCGTCAGCTATATTATAATATTATTACACTGACCCGCAGTAATGTATATATGTGTGTACATAGAATCGTTTTCTAAGCGTCTTTTCTAATTTTTTATCAATATTTTATCTTCTTTCGGTTCCATCGCGTCCTTGAATTTAGCATACGCTTACAAAACCTACAGGTATAAAATATTGTACACAAACTGCAGCGGAACGATGCGATTTGGTCAAGGTCGCTCGGGTACTATGTATACGACGACGACGACGACGACAACGACGTGCGGGTCACTACCGACCGATAGAAACCTAATATTATTTTTAATATTTTTACCTGGGCTAATATAATCGTCATCGTTCGCGTGACGGTTTTTTTTTCTACAGGAAATTTTTCGTAAAAAAAACCAAAAGAAAATTCATCGGTTTTTCTGTCCGCGCGGACTTTTTTTCCAAGGATCTGGCCCGATTCCGCGGATTTTCGGCGATCCGTGCGATAAAACCCGACGAATTTTTACATTTCGATTTTTATGCCGTGGGTGCGTTCGCATTTAAAACGAAATCTCCAGTATAGACTCGTATTCAAGAACGACATTTTTTCAAATTTTTCAACAATATTAATTGATTTTAAACCTGGCAATAATTTTTCTGTCAAATATAATTGAAAACGACCCCGGCATAACATAACGTAGTCTTTAAAAGGACGCATATATAATACTCGCATCTACTGTCTCAGTCCAACTACCGGGTAACATGCAAAAACAATGCTTACGCAGAACAGGTAAAACTAGTTTAGTTTTGATTTTATTGTAAAATTACTTGTTATAAAATGCATGTAGAGAACAATATTTTGAATAGGGTTTTTGTATTATTCAAAATATATAGCTCGATATAAAAGATACAAAAACCTTTAATTTTTATTTTTTAAATAACTGTAACTTTTTTAATAGTTAATAATTTTAAAAACGTCTATAACATTTCCTCTGAAATATTGTTCTCTAAACATTTTGTAATAGGTACTTTTACTCTAAAATCAAAATCAAGTTTATTTTACTCATTCTGCGTGAGCATCGTTTTTGCATGTTACCCTGTAGTTGGACTGAGACAGTAGATATGGATGTGTAACGTCCTGTTAACACGTGATCGCGTGATAACGATTTGATTGGTTCGAAATGCAAATTATGATTTAATCTAAAATTATATTATAAATTAAGATATTCCGGTTTTATTCATTTTTAATTTACTGAATTTATTACAAACGCATCTAGAGGAATAATAATGTATTTTTTTTCATGTACAATTGTCGATATGATTATATAATTTTAAAAAATATCGTTTTATCTGGTATATAGTCGGTTCGCGAATATTATAAATTGTATATATAGAAAAACAAAAAATATACGGATACCAATTCAACTGTAATACCGACATGCAGTGCTCGAATGGGGGGGGGATGCACAGGGGAATGGAGCTCCTCTACTATTTTTTAATTTTTTTGCGTACCCCAACTGAAACGAGGGAATAGCATAAACTAATGTCCGCAATAATTTTTATTAAACTGTGGATTTCAATTATTGTCAATTATATAACGAATTTTACTATTTTTAATATTAGTTTGATATTATAATCTTTTCTATGGTCTTATATTTTTTTGCCATATAGCAGGTATATCGATATTTTATCATACGATACCATAATAACCATATGATACCGCATAGTTGAATTTATTTAACTAAAATTTTGACCACGTGGTTACTATAGAGTAATTACTCTATGGTGGTCACATACATTATCCGCAGAAAAGTGATAACAAAAAAAAAAAAATGGTAAAATATTCTGATCGGAGTACAATCAATATTCATATATTTGGAATTTTAATATTTGGTGCTGAAAATGCTGGTATGGTGGAACGGGGGGGGGAGGGGCTGAAACCCCCTACGAGTCTGTTTTCAGTGATTGTGCACTTGGAATGTAGTTTTTTAGTTTTTAAATCGTTGGATTGACCTCCTCTACTTAATTTTTCCTAATTCGAGCACTGCCGACACGTTCAAAAATACAAAAAAAGTCTGTAAAACGAATTCGTAAATTATTCTACTAAAATACTATAATATTCTAAATTTGTTTGTAAATCGTTAGCTGGCAAAATTCCCACATTTTTGTCCGGCGTCTAACGCTGACGATGTACAATTCTTACTGTATACTTTAATACACTTAATTGGTGTTATTTTTAAAACAAGTCCATTGCATTTCCGTACCTACGTTAAAATCACGATTTTAGATTATAATAATATTGTGTAATATGGCAGCCCGAAAAAAGTATTGCGGGAGGTGATAACTGATACGGTGATTCGAGACCATTCGTATGACGAAAAGTAATGACGGATCGACAGAGACCCGCCGTAGCTTTGTTGACTAATTTTTATCGTGTTTCCTTTTTGTGATATGTTTATACACACGTTTTCCGTCGAAAATCTTGCTGCGATCGTTAACTTTGTGGGTGATTTGGCTGGTGTAAAGCCTGACGGGACCGATCGTAGTTTCCCGTTTCATTATAATATGATGATCGATTTTGGTCCATTGAAACCAGTGTACGGGTCGGAAGAAAAAATAAAAATAAGAATCAGTATGTTTAACCGAATCGCAACAAAAATAATGAAACCGTTATTGTCGTACACTTTACAGTTTTCCCCGATATTTAGGAACGAGGAAAATAATTACCTCCCAAACGCAGCCAGTGGTGAACTCAATGGAGGGGGCAGGGAGCGAGTGGGTCCGGGCTTCTCCTTCGATAGTTATATCTGTAATTTTAATAATATGAGGTAATAATAATTATAAATAATCGTTTAAATTACGGTTAGACCAATTGTTATCTCTACAGTCGGTCATGTTGATGCGTGATTGTAATCCTGTCTATATTTCTGTATTTAGTGTTCATTTTTCAAAATTAATAAAAACAAAATTCCTTCCCTCTCTAAAAAAAAAAAATCCTCGTATATCCGCCACTGTACTGACCGCAGCGACCGTGTAAATCGAATTTCAAAAAAATACGCTATACATTTGCCGATCGGAGAGTACCTATTTTCCTTGTACCTCGAAAGTTTACTATAGACGTGCAGAGAAAAAAACAAAAAAAATAAACAAAACGGCGGCGGCTGGGCGATTCGGTAACAGCATAATAATATTATACAATTTGTCGTGTCGGTGTCGCCGCGTTTGACAAACCTCCGTCGCGGTGTAGTTATGGCGATAATTTTACATTTTTTTTTTTTACACGCGACAACTGCTACAATAACGAACAAATACAAAGCGGTCATTTTTTTTTTTCTGTCTACTATCAGTCCGCGGCCGCACGTATATAGAAATTCGAAATGTAACACTTTCTCTGTTTGCACGGTGCGCCCGCGTACGGCGGCCCGCATAATAATTCAGACGTATACACCGTGCACGCGCGCAGAATACCGTTGCGACCGACGTCTGTACCGGCGCGCGGCAGCGGGTTTTTGACGAACAATAATGACGTTATTTATCTCGATCCCCCGGTCGTCGGACGAGTACACGCGGCAGGCAGGATATATAACACCGGGAAGAGAATAAAAATGAAAAAAAAAAAAAAAAATCGTACGGCTAAAAACATCGGTACGTTTATACATAGCCGATTATACGTCCGTTTTTAGCATCAACCGCGTCGGCGGCCGTAATAAAACGCATGCGCCGACCAACTTGACAACTCCGGCATAATGCGACGCGAGTTGAATAACGTACCTGCACACAAATAACATGATTATGATAGTGTCGTTACGTGACCGTTCGTTTAACAGAATGTTCGTTCGGCGCAGTGTACCTACGCGAAAAAGCCCGCGAGTGTATCGCGGACAGGCGTGATGCGTTACAATACAGTGCGGGGTCAGTGAACACCGAATTCGCGGCGAGTGAAAATTCACCGAGACTTCAGCCCGGACTTATCCCGATTTTTTCAGAAAAATCACATAATGGGCTGTACAGTCTATCGGGCTCCCGTTTCTCCGATATGGGCTCCTTTTTTTTTTAACAAACGGGTCAGTTTCCGAACGGCTCCCGCGTTCGACAACACACGTTTCTTTTCACTTCATTCTGACTTAGGACTGTCTCGAAAGAGTTGTGATCAACCAACGCGGAAACACTACTTCGACAGATATCGCGGTTCGCGAACCGACCGAAGACTGAACAGACTAAGAAAAGCTGACACGATTATGTGCACGATCTGACACGATTATTATTGTATTATTATCCATATCGCATAAATATCCGATTAAATTTTACTACCAAGATTATTGTTATCGACTAATAATACGTTTCTGTTCAAAGCATTGTGAGATCGAATAAAACTATCGATAAAATTCGTTTGACAAATAATCTTGAATTGATTCAATAGTACTTATTATCGCAAAAACCTGCGAGAATCTGACGACGTTTCGGAAGTTTAATTTCTGTATATGCCCCCATTCGAATTTCGGACGTTCTTTTATTGTCACTTTTTGGGTCCTCTCGGGCCTTGGTTGTGTATTATTACAAGTACCATTCAGCGATCTGTTCGTTTTTACATACATAGTCTGACGGATACCATTGTCAAATGATAATTTGTGTGTGTGTGTGTGTATGTGTGTGTGTGTGTGTGTGTATAGCGTATTGGAGGTCACACGGGCGATATAATATTATAATATACACACCGTGACTACGCATATTTTATTTAAGTATTAAATTTCTGAACTGCACGTTCGTGATTCAGTGTGTGATTATCGTTTGGCGTACGCGTTTGATTAATTTTCGAGATTTTCGAAAATAAAAACCGGGCATTAGCGGGATTAATATCCACAAATTCTTTAGACGATAAAAATCGTTTCAGTATACCTAGTGATTCGTTGTACGACATCCTTGTACGTGTCGGGTCTGTTGAAAAACGGTGACGGTTGTTGCTCAATCAACTAGCAAATTTTGTCTATAGTTGGTGCTCTAAGAAGGTCATTTTTTTGATTTTTCTTGTAGTTGTCTTAATAATTGAAAAAAATGTCTGAAAATGTACGCAATAATCCCGTTATTTCCGATTTAATTTGTTTTTTTTTTGTAATTTATTTGAAAATTATCGTAGAGACCTGACGTTTTCACTGAATCATTATTTTCCAGCTATCTATAGCTATTTTAAATTTTCTGTTTTTTTTCGTACTTTGTGAAAAAAATTAATTACTTTAATCCACCAAAAACGCACTAAAATTTGACACAAGTTTACGATAAGTTGTATATACCCACGCATACAACTTGAGTATCTATTGTTTACCACGTTCCTCAGCTGTAGGATGTGACCTCCATGAGATGTCTGAGGTCTTGGAAATATGAAGTTCTTGGGCGATCTTTTTCCCAAGATCTTCTCTTCGAAGATATTCTTTACAAATGTGTTATGTCTGAACAAGTGCCCTTTTAATTTCGTTTTCCTTTTTAGTATGCGTCTTTAGTATATCCCTTTTTTCTTTTAAATCTTTTAACACTTGCTCATTTGTTTTTATTTCAACCCCTTTTGTTCATTTTTCTCTTGATACGTTTATAATCTAAATAAAAATAAGAAACAGTTCCAATTTAGTAAATTTGTATGCGGCCGGAAATTATTGGGTACCGGTTATCGTTTGAAATGTACGTTTTTTGCGTTCACCGATCGTTTACCCATTCGTATATTGTAATTACAATTTAATTATATACGCGATCGGTTCACACGGATTCCGGACTGTTATTTACCGAATCAGTCGAGGACGACGATAGAGACTATAACGCTGCCGTAACGAGCCAACAACAATTATTGTACTATCGTTATTATACGTGTTATGGGTTCGGTTCATGAATCATATACACTCTCTCTCTCTCTCTCTCTCTCTCTCTCTCTACCGTCAATTGACTCCCCCGAAAAAAAAAAAAAAAAAAAAAAAAAAACTATATAATTCAATTGTGGCCTCCCGAAAACGATACGATAATATTATATTCTCCGGTGGGTTAAACGCGTTTTAAACAGAAATTTACGCGACAAATCGTTGTGTTCGACACGCACGGACGCGCGGTAACCGCATTTTAGGTGTACCTATACAGAAAAAATAAAACGCATTAATCGAATAAACAAACCGATTGTGAAAGATGAAAAAAATCCGTTCGTCCGCGCGTTAATTGAAAAATAAATAATATATACAATAATCGGACGGAGATTTTTAGAAATATTTCTCTTCGCCCGCGTATTACAGTATATTGCTCTATTCGCTGCACCTCGTTGAAATCTCTCCGCGGTTCGGGTCGGCTTCCACCATAAAGTAGTGATATAATAATAATAATAATAATAATAATATAATAATATCAACGAGCTATACACGCGGTAGGTACTTAAAGTGTAATCGTTGTCGTAATTGCAGCCTCGTATACGCCACTATAATGATACATTACTACACCGGTCGTTATTTTACTGTGTAACAGGTGCAATAAGAGAACGGAGGAATTGCACGTATAGCTAGTGGAATTAAATGTGTGCAGCCGGATACGGTGCGGAATAACATATAGTGAGGAAGAAAGGGTGTCATTAAGGCACGATAAAAGGGAAATTGTACAGAACTGGCGATGGCGATGTCTAATATTGTATCTATTATGCGAGTCCGAGTATTGGACGTTGGATAAAAGAGATAAAATACTGATATACAGTGGCGCCGAACCATGTTTTAAGAAGGCGGACAGGTAAAAAGTTGTATAATTCACCACCCTCGTTTACAAAATAAACTCCAATACAATACTCTAATATTCTGTACGTACCAATTCGATAAAAAATATGGCTCTGGTACCTATCATGGATCCACCACCACCCACTCATTAAAAAAAGGGTGGCAATCGCCACTCTTGACTGCTGGTTTCGGTGCAACTGCTGATATATAAATGGATGAAAGTATAGCAGAACCGAGACAGTTAAGTCGCGTGATCAGCTCGGATAGGAACCCGGGAATAATCGATACATAAGAGATAGTGTATATAGAAGTAGCGGGTACATCGGGAAAAATAAAAGACGATGCAGACGAGAGTGGTCGTGTATTGAGAGGAGAAGAAACACGAAGTATAGACGAAAGAAGTAAACCGTAGTATAAAGTGTTATTTAAAAGGGGAAATGTGAGGATATGCGGGGAATAGTGAAAGAAATGGCGATTCTTTAGCTGACCAAGTTTGCTTAAAAGAAAAAATAGATCGAGCTGGCGGAACGGCCGACATATACGCGGAATGTTCCGTATTGTAAAAAAAAATTCGGTTTTCTCCATGATTTGTACAAGTGTGGCGTGCCCAGAAATTTTCAATGGGAGGAGATGTAACAACTAGCAAATAAGAATCGTAAAATCGTCCTCTACCCAACTCGACTATGGGAATTGGTAATTTAGAAACCGTATCCTAAAAAAAAAAAGCCAATTTTTAATCACTAATCAATATAGCAAACTAATACATTAACATATTAAATTACTTATAAGTTTTTGTATTTTTAAGCCAATGTGGGGATATAACCTCTATTTCCCCCCCCCCCCTGAACGTGTACGTACATTTGTTCGTGCATTTGGTCGGATCGGCGAATGAAGACAACTATTGTACAACTACAATCCGAAAAAACGTTTTAGATTTTAAGCGTATTTATAAAGTTTTACGGTGGTTTTTTTTTTTTTTTTAACAACTTTTCTACGGGAAAACTTTTTCGCAGTATTACTGTACGGTTGTTGTTTTAAACGGTTATTGTGGTCACGGTAATCGCGGTCGTCGCGTGTCACCGTCGCCGGACAGTTATTGATATTATTCTTGTTGTCAAGCGTGACGGTTATTAATGGTCCCCGAGTATATACTATATAAATATTGTTTTTGCAATAAACCTATCGTTCGGCGGTTTCAAACAGCTATTACGACGGCATTTCCGTCAATGATTTATTCATTATCTCCCGTCACAATATAATATAAACAAGACGCGCGCCTATCAAATCGATTTCAACCGTATTTCGACAATGATATTGTTATTAATACTGTGCGACAAATCCGTAGATAATGAAATAATAGATAACCGGGCATTGGGCCTGTTGAGGCCGTTTGCTTACGCTATTCTCGTAAAGCCTCCTCAATTTCATTAGTACGTCTCCGCTGATTGGCCGTCACACATTATTTTTCTATTTGTGGATTAATCACGAATGATGTGATGATAAAACTGTGTTCGTTTACGGGTTACGTCTGATCAGACGCGTTCTACAAGAATAACTGCAGAAAGATACGCCGTGTATCGCACTCGTTCGAAATTATTTATTCGAGTATAAAAAAAAAATATTTCGTCCGTAACGCGTATGTTTCGGTCAAAAAACAACAGGATGACCAACATTACGTATGACACACATTATCTCGGAAAACATTAATTTTTTTTTTTCCAGAATTTGTTTTCCTTTTAGAAAATGTGCAACACAAACGGCTCTAAAATGTCACATTGCCGTTATTTTCCGTTACCCTTAATGAAGGGGTGAAACCACTTGGTTATTATTTTTGATTTTCAAACAACAACCCGTATTAAAACTCCATCTGGTTATGGAATTTGTAATATACAGGGTGATCAATATCCAGCAGAAGACGCTCATTGACTCGGAGGAAGTAGTGGAGAATCAACTTAAAAGTGGAATATCTCGTCAACGGATTGAGGGAAATCAAAAACGTCATCACCAAAATGTATTTAAATTAATACTCCACCTTTATTTATGGTATCTTTAATATAGGTTGCGATTTAAAAATCAAAAGTAAGTCGTGGTTTTACGCCGCAAAAATAAGGGTGACAAAAAATGACATAAGTGTGTAGCATTTTAAAGCCACTTGTTTCTTTGGTTTTCTACAAAACAAATTCGGGAAAAAAAGTTTATATTTTCCGAGATAACGAGTGTCTAACGTGTTGTACGTCGATCACTGTGTATGCATAACATGTCGTCCGAATTAATGTACACTGCGACGCGTTTCCATCTGGCGGTGGTCATCTGGGCACATATGTAACGCACTTGCAGACGAATCGAATCTGTTCGTTGAAAAATATACGTTGATTTTTTTTTGATTGTAAATATCAGAAGAATATTTTCGTTGTAATATTTTCAGTGTCTAAATGTGTATGAAACGAAAAAAGAAAAGAAATTTACGAAATCTGTTCGTGTCTTTCGTCAACCTATAATATGTACTCGACGGATAATAATAATTGTACATTCGTACGATTTAATATTATCATCGACGATAATTATTGTAATTTTCTGTTGACGGTGTGCGTATGTACGCCAATAAAAAAAAAAATTGCGCAATTTTCGGTTTTATGCAATCGCGGACGAACGAGCGATGGTATCTCCGCGCGACGTCCACACGCCGTAATTCGGAGGGAAAGTACAGCGACGACGTTCGGTCATCGCGTGTTGTACCCGGCTTATAAATTGTTTATTATATTATATTATGTGTATCTAAATTTGATATTTTTATTGTTTTCTAAAGGTGATAAAAATTAGCAAAAAAAATAAACTTCCTGAACTTACCTAGATCAAAATTATTACGATACCTGCAGAAATAGTCTTCTTCTTTTTTTTTTTTCGATTGGAGAAAACATCGTTTATGCTTCAACAACACATACCTCAAAATTCGGTAAATGAGATTTTTATCGATTTTATAACAAAACGTATATGTTCGAAATTGTTTTATAATTTGTTTAGTTAAGTTCGTGGTTACGTTGTAAGTTACGAAAATGATAATATCATTTCTGTACAAAATCTCGTATCAACATAACACATGAAATACAATGTGAAGAAAAAAAATACATTGTTAGCGTGAAATTGATTAGATATTACCAGTATTTAACTAGGCGAGAATAAATCTTTCAAATAACGTTTTAGATTCGGAACGTATAGCGAGGAATGTATTGGTTTTACAAACTCTTCTACCGGAAATCTTGCTCCGATGTACCAAGTGTAGCACCTGGAAATGTTATCTACTTGATACTTTAGGGAGGTAATTGTTGATTTTCCAAGTGGTTTTCATATTAATTGGGAAAAACACGTGGAAAAAACTTCAAAATGTACGTACATGTATAAAAAAAACTTGGCTCCTTGGCTATTCAGTTTTTCGTTAGCAATTATTCATCGTTGCGTACAGATATAAATTGAATTCTCTTCTATATCCCACCTTCCCAACTGCTCATTTACAACAGTGGCCCACGTTATCGGTGCGAAGAATGTCGGTTTTTTTGCCATGTACAACTACAAAAACTGGGACGGATACGCAGTACCTATAATAAGCGACAATAAGTCTTCGGGATGAAATCGGACAGAACAAAAACCACTTCGCTCTTCTCTGAACGCCGTACGAAAAATGGTAAAATTTTCCGGCTATCGCCCATTGTCTGCTGCGCAATATTTCGGAAATTTAATATTTATAATGTATTTTATGTTTAACATTGGGATGGCGATTCCGGTCGTATACGCGTTTCCTCTCCGGAACGATAATCGGAATAGAGGCGGTTGGACGCGCGTCGCCCGTAATTTGACTCGGCGGTTCCCAAACACTTGCGGCGCCCCTTGGAAAATAATTTGTGTTTCGCGAAAACCGAACTATAACTCGACCGGCATTTTCCGACGGTCGGTTGAAAAGACACTGCGGCCACAAAGGAAAGTCGTCCAGAACCCTTGCGTTAGGATCCGTTACGGCCCGTCGGAACGTCTTTCGCGCGGGCTATACTCCATCAAAGGGAGCGGCACGGATAAGTGCAAAGAATCGCGGACAAGTTTAGGGAACGCTTAGTCCCCTACACCGAATCTGACGCAGCACAGCCTACCAGTTTGCGTAAGCCTGCTAAACGGCAGTCGGACGGCTGGATCTCTAGACGAGTACCAGCGTCTTAGATCGAACCGAGTGTTTCCTACGAGAGAGCACGCGACGCCGGCCGCGGGCGATTAATGATCCAGAAACGGACGTGGGTGATTAATCGCCCGCGGGGTGGTTTTGGTGCGGCGGACAGTTGCGTTTGCGCGCAACGTCCGTCCGGGGGCAACTCCCAAATCTCAAAGGCCCGTCGGAACGCGCTTTGGAAACCGCTGGCCGGCGATATCGATTTGTATGTGCTGTGGGTGGTGTGTAATGTTGTTGCGGTTCACTCGCGGCCAATACGATCGAACTAAGAAACAATAATATTATCGTAACCGTCCGCGGGCGGACGGACAGGACGGATGGAAACGGCGGTCGAACGCGAATTGCGTATTGTTCGCGCGTGCGGCCGTGATAACGAATAAGGCGAGAAACATCACTTTGCCGCGCGTAATTATTACGGCCGGTACCCGCAGTGGGCCGACCGGGCGCGCGGCGTCGTTCCGTTCAGCAGTAGTCTTTCGACTGTTCGGTTTTAAACGGATTGAATTAATATTTACGCCGTAAAGTAACGTTACACGATAATATATACGAAAAAAACCGAGCACGCGCGCGATTATATCGTCCGCGACGATGGACGGTAGGCGGCGGCACCACTCGGAACATTGAAAGATCGAGCCAGTGGGCCGGTAACCGTGTGGATAAGAATAACGTTTTAGAAAATGTACTGGTTGTTATCGTTATTGTCCCCGGGGTGATATTTATTGTGTTTTGTGTACGTTGTTCAGTTGCGTCGGTGTCGCTGTGGGGAAAAAAAACGGTCATTCTTACGGTATCGGTAAATCGTAATAATGTCAACGTGAAAAACAAACCCGATCATATTATGGGTGGGCAGGTGACGAGTCAGTGGAAAGGTAAACGGGAAATTTAATGTGCACATGTACGCGGCGATTAATCATGCTCGCTAACGAAAAACTGAGTTCGGTTGTACACGTTTTGAAAGGTCGTAATATTTACGATTTGAAAATAATAAATTTGGTAAATTTCCTCGTTTTTCCTACGTTTATTCACATTCGTTATGAAAAATCCTGAAAAAATATAAAATAAAATTACCTCCCTATAGTTTCACCCCCGGTCAAATTTCCATTTAGAAAAAGTGCTACATTTGAAAATCGGAACGAAATTTCTGATAGAAAAGTTGTTCACGGAAAAAAAAATAAACATCATTGTAAAATCAATACATCACTCGTTCCGCTCAGTATTTAAAATCAAACGTTTTTTAACGTTTCGTTGTGAGACAAACACGAAACCACAGACGACTGTTCAAACGCGATTTTCTCCCGTTAGGTTGTAATCCGAAATATTCGACGCGTCCGGAAGTACACGCGCGAACCGGTACACCATCAGAGTATTTGAGAGTTCATCTCCGGCAATCGAGAACTGGTATATACCTAGTTGCGATTTCATGCAAATAAATTATCAATCATAAATCGCGGTGTTTAGAGAAAAGATATTGTACCTATTCAATAATAATAAAAAAAAAAAAGTCGTTTTTAATCTTATGCTGCAAGTTATGTAATAATATAAATAGCAAACAATCGATTTCATCTTGTTTTCTTTCTTTTTTTTTTTTGTAACAGTTTTCACATATTGATCCATGAAAATTTGATGATAACAATACGACAATACCGATTATGGTCGCTTGAAATTATGGAAATGTTGATTTTTTTTTCACCCGAACAAATAATTCTTGGAGGAAAAAACGCGAATAAAAATCGACAGGTTCGGTCTATCCGGTTTCTGTAATAGTATTATCGGAAACCCACCGACGACGTGTAGTCAACACAATCGACACGACCGTTGTGCGCCGTCTGCTATTTTAACGGGGACATAATATTATAGAAATCATTCGATTCAAATCTACACGCAAAGTGTTATGTTGTCACACTATACGATAATACAAAATAACGGTTTATCTGGCAACAGTACCTATATTATAATGACAATGCAAGACCGTGTTCGCGTCCATATATTGCCGTATAAACAAACACCGGAAACTCGCCGTGTCGAATAGCGGCGACTTTTTTTCGTCATCGCGATATTATTTTCAAGTAATTTTACGGTTGGAAATTGATTTTATTCCGGAATAATATTATTATAATGTTTGGCAGTATACCGGGCGATTCTTCTATCGTTAAACACTCATTATCCCGGAAAGTATTAAGTTTTCCCGGAATCTGTTTTGTTGACAATTTAAGAAACAAGTAGAACTATTTGTTTCTTAAGTTTTCAAAACAAAAATTTCAAAAACGGTCAATATTTTTTAAAATAATAAGCGTTTAACGATAAAAAAAAATCACCCGGTATAGTATTTACTGGACGTGTACAAAACGTCAATATAATTATATTACAAGTCGAGCAGGTAATCGCCTTTTAAACGTTAATTGAGAATTATAAAGCTGCCGATTTGTTAACACCGGGTTTCCGGTATACCTGCAGCTACCCATTTGACCGTTTTCTCTTTCTCCGAGCGGTCGATTTCGCATTATAGGGATCTGGAACACGATATAGAACGTGAACTCGACACCGAAATTATACAACGAAATAGTAAAAACAATAACGGCATTGTCGGACTGCAGTTTTAATTTGTACGCTATAAAACGCGGTCTAATTGAGTGTTTTTTTTTTTTATTTCCAGAATCAAATACTCGACCGCGTGAAATGCGACCACGTGACTGTTACGAAACCGGAAGAAGATCGGCGGAGGCGAACGATAATCGTCGAAAAAAAGAACGGAAGTTATGGCTTTATGCTCCAGGTTGGTGATCGGATTACTATTGGATTATCAAAATAAATTATTTAGATTTTTTAACGGGCGCATTTCGTTTTCAATCACGGGGGCAAAATCTCATCGGTTCTTACGTTTTTGTATTTTTTTTTTTTTTTTTTTGTTTTTTTTTTTTTTTTAAAGAGTTACGGCATTCATTACAAAAAAGAACAGGAGATCGAAATGATCACGTACGTGGACCACGTTGACTACGATGGGCCGGCGTACCGAGCTGGGATGAGAGAAGGTGCGTTATTGGCTATTTTTAGTGATATTATTCCAGACGGAAAAAACGATGTTCTACATTTTCAACGCCCTTCTTGTATTTTATTTCAGGTGACGTGATACTGTCGATAAACGGCGTCGACATGGAGAAAGCCGACCACAAGGCGTTGGTAAACTTTATAAAAAGCTGTGATTCCCGAATGAGAATGGTGGTGCTGTTCGAAGACTGCGTGAGAAAAGTAAGTACCCCGGATTCTCTGGAGTATCTTTGATGCTCACGCGAGGATTTTTATCGCAGGTGGACTTGCACATGCGGTACATACAACTGCAGCGGACGCTCCAGGCCAAAGTCGAAGAGTTGGAGAAGGTGGAAATCCGCGAGCGGGAGCTCATGGAAGGAAAATGGAAAACGCACAGTCTGCCAGCGAGAAAAAAATCTAGTCATTCTTCCAAGGACGCCACAAACACAAAAATATTGACTGAAAATGGTATACGGTGATTTATATATAAGTATTACGGAAATGACTAATAACGACTGTTAATATTTCGAACAGTGAGTTGGCCACTGTTGTAGGTCAGAACTCGGAAAGGTATATAGGAATTATAAGATAATTTAGCGTGAATATATTGATGAGTCTGAATGAAGCTGATTGCCTTTGATAAAAGCAGTTAAAAGAAATCAGCTTCATTAGAAGTAACTGGTTAAAACCTAAATTCCAATTTAAGAGTCTTTAGAGATTTCCTCATATCTATTCGCCTGTATGTTCAAATTTTACAATTTACGTGCCATTGGTTTAGTCTTGAAACTTATGTAATGAGTATATTGTCATTTTTTATAGTCAATATTTTTTATTGTAAAAAAAAAAAAAAGTATAATTACTTATGACAAATATTATTATAGGTGAAAGTTCTATGTCCAGGCCTACACTGTCGACTGAGGACGTGGCCAAAGCGCAGCCGATTTATGTTCCCAAACAAAATTTCATGTTGGCGTATCGGCCGCACCATTTCATCGACCAGCACGGACGTTCCTATTACCTGCATCAGCCAGCTACTGCCATAATAAATGGAGATTCGAGTTATGTCGGTTGGCACAGCAGGTAAATCGATGATTTCTTAAAAAAAAAATAGTTTTCTATATAAAGGTACCGACTAGTTGTATGCTCGTCGGGTTTGAAATTCTGAAAGTGACTAGTACTATATCCGAATGCTACAGTTCTTTATAACGTAAATCTTTTTCACATTCGAATTTTAATGAAACCAAACGTTTTAACCAGTTTTATTTTGTCTTAAGGGGCCCGGTGCCAGTTTGTCAAATTTTCTCTAGTTTTTTAAAAATTTAAATTTATTTTTAACATTTCAATTACCACCTTAAAAATAGGACTTTTCCAACTGATCTGCTAATCGTTACTCGTTAAGGGCCGGGGCCGTTTTTACTGACGAAAATGACTTCATGTAAATAGTGATAAATCATTGTCCATTAAATATTTAAACAAACATTTTTTAAATTTTGAGTTTAGTTTTTTTTATTATTATTATTTATAAGTAATAAATTCCGATTTCAATAAATGAAAACAAATCTTAAAATGTACTTTTTCTATAGACTCATTATAAATGTTGAAAATAAAATATTGAAAACTGAGTTCAATGTGCTCTGTAGACTGTTTCCCTCTTTAAGTTAAAAAAAAATAAATTTGGTTGATTCTACTGAACACTATCAATATTTGTGTAGGCAAAATGACATTGGCAATCGGGCGCCTCAACATTGAAACAATCATTATTACGCACAGATTACGTAAACTGACTTATAAATAGACTGACAATAATTTATTGTACATCAGTCGCACTCATTTGATAAAAGTGGACTGTAACGCCCGTTATACTCTTGATGTGCATTTAAAACTTTAAAAAACTGGATGCTTTATGACAGTAAATTTGCACTGTAGTCGTAATTATTTACAAAGAATTAATTATAAGTAGGTATGTGAGACGTGGATCCGTTAACAAATTTTCGGTTAATATGATGTCGTACACTCCCATGTGCATCTTGTCTCAGTCTTACTTACACACGGCGTAGCAAATTACGTTGCTTCGACTATAAATTTAGATTGAAATAATTGGAATTTAATCAAAAATAACAAAATTTAACTAACTTTTTCGTATCATAATTTATGTAATCTACATAATTTATTTAGAAAAATGTTCCGTATAGCTCTCGAAAAAATTCTCCATTTTAAATGTTGTTATATTTGTATTTAAATTCTGATTTCAATCTAAACGACGCAATTTACGTTCTATAAGTGTGTGCGGGAAATAGCGTTACAGACAGACGAATCTTTTTTGTTAAAATATACGATTTCCGAAGACCTCTCACGTGGAGCGAAAATCCTTATGGTTTTCGAACCCAATCGAAATCTAAACGCACGTTGATTTTCTTCTTCTTTCTCGATAACTATCATTCAAATATTATATTATTTACGTTACTATTCGATTTTTTTTTTTTTTTTATTATTTTTGCATTTAGCAATCGTCCGCACGGTGGCGGCGGGAGTACCAGCAAAAACTACGGCGAACAGCAAGAAAATTGGACGCCGTCCGATCAACCGGTCCAGCAGAGGAGGCGATCGCATTACGTGGTAGAAGTCAGCCGACGGTGCAGCACTTCGTCCGACGCGCCTAACCGTACGCCACAGCAACAGCCACAGCCGCAGCCGCAGGCGCATTGTAAGCAGCACGGCGGTGGCGGTAACTTCACCAGCAGAGCTTCGCAGCGGTCTTCGTCGCAAGGTAAAGCAAAAAAAAAAACAAACAAACAAACAAAAACCCGTCGTTATCCGGCCGCGCTCCTATATGTAAAGACGAGAATCGGCGGCCGTCCACGCACAAATGCACAATGCGGGTGGCGTATAACTCCGCGCACGAAAATATCTTAACGTTTTAATACGGTGTCGTTTATTTTTTTTTTTTTTATATAAATAATAGATTTTAGACGCTTTGGACCTTGCTTTACTTACTGTTGTGTTGCGCGGTTGTGTACACATCGTCGGTTTTCAACGGCACATACTTTCGGTGTAAACTGTATACGCTATACACGTATTGTTATACTTGCGCGTACACATTGCACCGCGTAAGCACATCACTCGCTCTCCAGAACATTAACTTTAAAATAGTCCAGGCTGTCCCGACGAAAACCAAACTATAATTGTCGGCCATAATTAACGACAAAAATAACCATCTCGACAAATAATTGAGAAGTTTAAAACATCAATTGTTCAACTAACTATATCGTTAGAGTCACCGTTGCACCAACGCTTTCCCAGTGATGTACTTACGCGCGGCTATGGGTTCGTTCGCGCCACGGAGAACCGTACGTATAGGGCGTTTTACGGGGCTGGCGGTGTTATCGAGAACCTGGCATACCGAAAGTCGTCGAATACAAAACCGTACACAATGTGTACCGAATGTAAACCGGTATACCGTTAATATACCGCGGTAACGGTATATGGGGTCCATCGTGTACCACCAGCCCTATCGGTATAAATAGAATGTCGTTTGCGCGTTCTACGCCCCCACATTTTTGTGTTGTTTGTTGTTTCCTGTATAATGCTTTCCGGTGTAGGCGATAACTGTCCGCGATGGGGTTGCATACGCACCGGCGGCGGCGGCGGTGGCGGCGGGGCCGGTCGTCGGCGGCGGCGACGAAACGGCAGCCGTGGCCGGGACGACGGGGACGACCGCGGCGACGACGGGGACGACGACGACGGCGGTGGCAATGACGAGGACGACGTTAGCCTAGAAGCGTACGATATGGCCGCTAACGGCGGCGGCGGTGGTGGAGCTTGCTGTCCGGGCACGCAGTGCGTGCCCACACGGAGACATCACCGGCGCAGGCGCAAATCGGTGCACGGCGGAGGCAACCGCGACAAAAGTCCAGGCAAGCGATCGTCATGGCCCTCTCCACCCCGACCATCACGATCATCGTCATCATCTCGCTGCTGGCCGTCGTGTTGCTGCTGCTTGTTGTTTTAGCACATCATTTTATTATTATTTTATACTTAGGCGCCGCCGTGGCCTTTTTGTTTTATGATTTTTAAATATTTACTCGGTTTTTTTTTTTTTTTTACTTTATCCTCCGGTCACTAGTTATATTTTTTTATCGCGTGTGCATGCGTATTTGTATTTTATTATTTTTTTGCCATTATTTTATCGTTTTACTATACTTTTAGTGAAATTTTATCAGTTATCACTGCTGACAGATGAAATTGCAAAAAGAAAAAAATGATAATCTTATCACGCACAAAGCAATTTGTTCTATCTTTGTTATACATTTTACGCCGTTGTTGTTTTTATTTTTAGTTTGTTTTTTTTTATTATTTATTTATACACACACACACACACACACACAAAAGACTGGTAGACTGTTTTTTTTTTTTTTTTTTTTTTAATTATGAGTATATGTATTGTATAAACTACAAAAAATAATAATAAAACCGAATTATTTCACTTGTTGCCATTTCGTCGCCACGACCATCGCGATACTTACCTCGATGAAACACCAAACGGTTTTTTTTTTTTTATTATTTGTAAATATAATTTCCATCCGATTAACGTCGCAATATATTAAATTTGTATTTTGTATTGTTCTTTTATCACTTTTTGGGGGGAAAAATCATTATCAAAAGCATGTGTTGTTTTACTCTATTAGTTAAATCTATTGCACGCCAGTAGAAAATAAAACACTGTGATCTTCATTTCAATTATTATTGTCATAAGTATTCTATGAGCCCGCTCGTATACCATTAACCATTGGGCTCGTTGAGAATTTTGAAAATGTGAGCACATCCCAGGCCCGGAACTCGGTGAACCGAACACATTGATTATAGAATTTACCGAAACAAAAAAAAAAAAAAAAAAAACTCCCGTGAGCAGCAGTGCCCCGTCACTAGAATCGAATTTGGAGTAAAATAGTGAAATTTGAACGTTTAGAGACAATAACTGGACAATTTAATTCGCGGTGAGGACCGTTATCGGTCCGTTTCGAGGACTTTTTTATCCGGTTGGAAAATACATGTTTTTTTTTTTTTTTCAATACGGATTGAAATATCACCTTCGGATTAAATTGTTTTCGGGAATATTTTGATTACGGTTTTAGTGGGAAGTTGACAATTTGATTAGGTGGGAATTTTTTGTTCTGCCAAATCAAAATTTCACCTTACTTTTAGGAATATATTAGTATTTATATTATGTTGCGAGATGTTTTTTGACCGTAATATAAATAACGCCCGTGAAAAATTAGCCAAAAATGGATAAACGGTGAAATAAAAGTTTAATTTTTGAAGTAAGTTGATGTATGATAGGTGCTAATTTAATATCATGAAGACAATGCTATTTCTTGAAATAACATAATAATTTTAATTACCTAATTTTAGTTTAAAAATTCATAAAAATACAATAGTTTACCATTATGTACATGTAGAAACAAGCAACGTTAGAGCGAAAAAAAATAAAAAATAAATACTAAACGCATCAAGTTCCGGGCCTTACTCACTAGCGAGCTTCCAATTTTCGCATAAAAAAAAAATATTTCAAAGGCACCCGAATTATGTAGTTTACTCTATCGCCCAACACCCCCACAAACAGTCCTCACTGGACAGTAAGTGATGTTTATAATATTCTAGCAATCGGATGTGCGTTATGTGTGTTCACAGAGTGCACGTCGGAGAGTTCACATTGCCGGAAAGGACACGAGAAACGCCGGAACTCGTCTTCCGCCCGGAACAACGACTTGGACCAACAGCAGCAATCTGTAACAGCGTCAGGTTGTCCCGGTAACCACGCTTACGCGAACCTGGTAAACGACCGATACACTTCAGACGAACGGATATGCCAGAGCTCGTCAACCGGAGTGGGTCGACACCAGACCAGCCTGACCGAGAACAGTCCGGTGTCGTACACGACTTCCCTAAGCACGGACACGTTGTACTGGGACGACGACCCGATGACGGCCACGGGCGGTGGCGGCCAACCTGCGTCCCGCCAGCATTCGGTCAAGTCGCAGTCGTCTTCGACGTACCGGCGCGACAACTGCGCAGTGAAACCGGTCAAGTCGTGGGACAACTTGACCACGAAAGCGTTCGGCGGTTACGGTTTCGGTTACGAGTACTTGGATCGCGATCACCACGCGGTGAACAACAACAACAACAACAGCGGCGGTGGTGGTGGTCAGCACATGGTTTATCTGCAACTGAAAAACGTTAAGTCGGGCGGCCAGAAACAACACGGCCACCATCACCACCACCACCATCATCACCATCAACCGCAGCAATCACAGCAACAACAACATCAACACCACAACAACCATCACCACCAACACCATCACCATATGCACAACTCCGGCGGCCGTATACGTCACCCCACCAAGTCCACGGAAGCGCTGCTCTCGCTTCCGCCACAGTATCCGATAGCCAGCGGCCCTACCGTCGAATCATCGGCCAGCTGCGAGTACTTGGACGCGTGTTCGTCGTCCGGCAGCGGTTACTTCGGCATTTACTCCGGCAAAGACAAAGCCAGTCAGACGGACTACCGGAGGTATCAACACCAACAACAGCAGCAGCACCAACAGCAGCCCGAAGTAACGAGACTCTGATAACGACGGCGCATAGAAGCTTGAACTTAGGAATATTTTATTTTGATTTTATTTTTTTTTTTTTTTTTTAATTATTCGCCGACTATATACAATAAGTCGTTTCTCGTACTTACCCGTTTATGTGTAATAATAATATATCGTTAGAGTTGGACGTTTTCGTTTATAGAACGCCTACCTCGATATGTTCCCTCCGATCATTACCCGGGAGCGCGAAGATATTGTGTCGTTGCGTTTTCATCGCCTCTCATCCGGGAATCATCCCCCTCCCCCCGACACGATAAATGTAAAACGTTTTAGCTTTAGTCTTTTAGTGTTTTCATCGGACGATTTCGGGAATGCTCGTCGAAAACGTGCACGGTACGTCGGTGCTTTCTCCTGTCCGCGAACGAGCGATCCCTACTCCAGGTAAAACGCCGACTCCGTCCGACTCCTCTCTGGCGACGAGCAATTCGATTATTTCGTGATTTTTACCAATGCCGTTCGAAACTATATCGGACGATTATCGAGCACTGCCCACGGTCCAAAAACGATCGACCGTCTTACTAATATTATAATGCTAATTGTTCATTGCCCGTATAAACTGTGTGAGAAAAAAAAAATACCGAAAATACATCTTAGATTACGCGACGTCTGTTATAATGCGTCCAGTGGAGGCCAAAAAAAAAATTATAATAATTTATAATTGATGGCGTGATAATTTACCGATTTGGCGTAATTATTTGGAAAGTCATTTTTTTTTTTTTTTTTTTTATATGAAACTAAAAATGTGCGTAAAAAAATATTATAAAAAAAAAAAATGAATTAACAAAACGAATCCCCTCCTCCACCATATAATCCGGGGTTTTCGGGGACTATACAAAGAACATGCCTATAGGTAATATCAATCATTTCTCCGGAGAACTGCGCTCACGTATTATAATACGACGTTCTACATTTTACTCATTTTCACGGTACAGAAAATACACTCGCTCACAAATATATAATAAATACGCTACGTCTCTTCGTTTCGTTGATAAATGTCTTGGCGTTATAGGGGAATAAAACTTCTTTCAGAAAGATTTTCCATGAAAAATTCAATATTATTTTCGGATATTAAAAAAACGCCTCTCGATGTATCGAGTAGATAAAACGATTTTACGAATTCTCTACCAGACTTGTATCCGTTGAAAGTCGTCTACCGAATCTCCTCAGTGCTCACTATAATCTATTCTGATTAGGTACTTAAATTATTTTTTATTTTTTAAATTACTAGTTCAAATTGTACAAATAGCTTTTTAAATGTATTTTATGTCGATATCGAATAATAATTTATTACTCTCCAAAATGTGTATTTTAGTATTTATGATGCGTGCTATAGTTTTTTTTCTAACCGAAACATGTTTTTTTTTTGGGGGGCTATGTTTTGTACACAAATTCACATTGTATTCAAAAATAATTATTGTTTATATAGGTATTCTATGTTACTAGTCGTCATTAAATATTAATTATTTTTTATTGTTAGTATTGTGTTATTATTGAATTTTAATATCGATATGTTTTGTGTATGCCTTTAATCGGTCGTTATGATCAATTGACAATTATTATGATTACATTTTTAATAGTACGTATTTTTGGGGAAATAATAGCAGTTTTCTGTGTTCACTTTATATAATTCCGATTAAAATAAGAAATTCGGGGGGGGGCGGGGTTGCAACAAAAAATATTGTATCATCTTTGTCCTTTGTATTGCTATGTATTATTTATAATTTAAAAACAATTTATATTCCGGATGGGGTTTACACCCACTCCCCTCTGCATTTGCATTGGAAGGTCTTGTTAAGATTTTACTGATTTTAGTATAAGAAATAAGGTTATAGAGATATACTGCACAGCTTCTTAATAATATGCTCTTGATCAGTATTTCCTAACCTATGGTTTGCGAAATATTTTTGATGAGGGACGATGAAAGAAAAATAGTTTTATTGTAACATAATTAAATGGAAAAAATAAAAAATATTAGTAAGAATAATAAGAAAACAAGAAAAATAAATTCAAAGACTTTTATTATTTTATTACGATTGTGGGAAATTTCGTGTCTTATCGGGTCAATGCACTAATCGCTAATAAAGCTCATGACGTGTATCATCGGTGTCATCGCGTGAAATTCTGCTAGAAAATATGTCGTCTGCGTGTCGCCCAAAAGAATCGATGTAGTTCGTATAACGTTGTAAGTTAAAGAAAATAAATAAAAATCATCATAGATAATAGAAATAGCGCAATAGTGTTAAATAAACACAATAACAAAAAAAAAAAAGTATTCGTCCTTTTGGTCCTCATACTGACGACTCCTAGATTAGCTTAAAATAAATAACTTAAACGGCTGATAATGAGTATAGACAACAGTAAATCACTGTGAACAAACTACGATTCCTAAAGTGTGGAGCTGGCAGATTACTTTCCGGCAGTATTTTATGCATACTCTTTTTAATGTGAGTCGCATACCCGAAAAAGAATAAATGTGTGGGTCGCCTTAACAAAATGATTGGGGACCACTGCTCTTAATGATTATTTTTGGGTAGCAATTTGCGTGAGTATTTATGGCAGCCATTTACCGACTCACTATCTGTACATACATCTATATAATTGAAGATTTTGACTGTTTATCCACGGAAAAATCTTAGAAACGGCTGAACTAATTTGCACAGGTAGATAGAGGACTGTGTAAGGAATAAACTAGAGTATCTTTTATCCCGGAAATGTTTGTTTCCTGCCTACAAATTAAAAGAACTGTAGTTCGGGATATATTAGCCGCAAAGTATCGATAATATTCACGCGGTGCAGGTAATGAATTATACAATCTAATGCATAGATATAATCATTAATCACACAAAAATATACGTACAGGCGAAGCCAAGTAATTCAATTAGGTTTGACCATGATTACTTAGCCACGACAATAATGTTACAGTATCGTTTACGATAAGAAAGCAATTATTATTTATTTGGAGAAGTGAACAAAATACACATTGACGGTATAATTAATTATTTATTTATTTTCAAATGAAAACGTGTTCGACACGACTGAAAACTGTAAGGGTGAAAGTGTTATCACTCATCACCTTGGTTTTTTTCCGATTCTTCTTTGGTGGCCACGTAACTTTTCACCATGTCCTTAGTCTGCGAAAAAACGTGGAAAACATTATTGTTAAGTTTAGAAGCGAAAACGCATAGTTTTTACCATTTGCGAGTTTTCCAGAGCGCATTTTAACATCGCGTAACCGGCTTCACAATGGGTATTAGTTTCTGTAAAATGTAAAACAGGAACGCATATAAATACAAATACAAGGAGGCGATTAAAAGGAATGGGGATGACATGGGAACCTGTTGAGGAAAAGCATTTCTCTCTGGGAAATGTTAAAAATCGAAAAACAAAGGTTTTCTCAAGTTATATTGCCGCACTCATATCTTTATATTCGGTTTAAACAAAAAATGTGTTTAGTTTTTGTGACTAAAAAAATGGTGCAGTTAATAATTATATTTAAAAACGAAAACCACCATTGGGAGTTTTTCTGGCGCACGTTAAAGTCGATAAAAGCGAAGATTTGTTTTTTTAAATTTTAGCCTAGACTAATTTTACGAAATAACGTATCGTTACCGTCGAAACAGTGGGCTTCCATATTCTTCGCCTCGTTAATGAGCGTTTGGTCGGTCAGCAAATTCGACATCTCCTTTAATTTGGCCCAATTCCATTTCCCCGTTTCTGGATCCATCTGTAAAACCGACGAAACGATGTACGAAAGTAGTGTGGGACACGTTTACAATAATATACGAAACCGTACAGATAAAGGATCAAAATACAAGAAAATTTCTCGAAAATATATATGTTTACTTCCACAACAATTTCCCAGAAATTTTGATCCCTATAAGTAAGATGATTGCGGTGCAGTACATACCGTTCCAATTTCTTTTGCTATGCACGGACCGAAGCACTGAAACGAAAACACCGTTAATATTATATTTCATCTATTCGCAATTTTAAGTTTTGATAATTAAGTCGTGGCTTTCTACGAATAATAATATTATTATTATTATTATTTATTTAAGTTGGAACAAACTCAAATCAACTCGTAACGAAATCACATAATACCCTATTTTTAATACGGTAATTTTTACCGGGTGGAAGATTTTTTTTGTAAATGATACATACATTTTACATAGGTGCGAGTGCAAAATAAGACCGATGACAAATCAAAACGAGTAAGTAAAAGCTCAGCGCTTGGATTTCTGTAAATATTTTTAAAACAATTACATTTATTTAATAATTTGAATATGTTAAAATGTCTGAATGTTTTGTTATATAAACGGCTTTATCAAATGGATTATAAAATCTACAGAAACATGTAGAGTAACGAAAAACGTCAAATATGTATTGTCATATAGTGGATTTTCGGAGCATGTTTTACGGAACCTGTGAAAAATGGGTATTTTTTTTTTTACCATACGAATAAATCGAATTTTCAACCCTTACAAGACGTATATGAAATCACGTCCGAATCGTTCACTATTACTCGTTTTTATTTGCATCGTCAAAAAAACCCCCGAGGTACGCATTCAAAAACGAATTGGCGATTTTTGTTTAGGCCCGGGAAACATGAATCAAACCGACCCATGAACCACTAATCAATTTAGGCGCAATTAGAATAGTTTGTGTAGTTATCAACAGCTGATATTACAAAGTTTTAACATTATATTATAAAATTTCCTGGAGTATCAGTTTTAAAACTGATGATTTAAAGCACTCCTTTCCATTGCAGTTGAAACAATCATGCCACAAATATAAGATTAAAAAGACGGACATACTTTATACAATTATTGTAGGTGAGAAGTTGGGAAGTAGGATATAGAGGGGAATTTAATGTATGTCTACATGTAATGATAAACCATTGTTAACGAAAAACGATTCGGAGCAAAGTTTTTTTTATACATGTATCTACGTAAACTTTTCTATTTTTTTGGTTTTTCCCAATTATTATCCCTAAAGTACTACCCAGATAAAAATTTAAAAAAATAAATAATCAATATTGTAAAACTCATATATTCCTCGCTACGCCCTGAATCTAAAATTCAGACAAATTTCCTTTTTAACACAAACGAATCCACTTCATGATCATTTCCTAATAGATTTGGCTGTGAAAAAATCAGTATTAGGTGATTTTAAAATATTTAACTATTTATTTGTGTTTTTAATATCTATACTGCAAAATTAAACCAAACTCCAATAATTATAAATTTTAATTGAAATAATTAATGATACAATATTTGAACCATTAACCTATCCACATCAAATATTATAGAAGTACTTACCTTACAGTTGTCGTATTTTTTGTCGCTGTGATCTTTGTTCTTCATTATCAGATCACTGCAAATTTCTTTTGCAGATTTCCCAAATAATAATAAAAACAAAAAAAAATAAAAAATATTATTTAGAAATAGTACGTTGTTTTTTGCATACTAATAACTACGTTCTTGAAAATAATTTTTTAAATTTTTAAAACGAAAAATCCGCATGGATTACCGGGGTTTATTTTCAATTTGTCCATGCACGAAAACATGTATTCCAACATATCTTCAATGATTTCGCTCTGGTTATTATATTTCTTATCGATGCTTGACTGCACAGAAATACATAATATGCATTATATATAATATTATAGAATAAAAAATTCTCGACAAATTATTGGCTAAAATGTCTTTTAACCGATAAAAAATGTTATTCTATTACGAGTATTATGGAAAAAAGACAACGACAAATGAATTGCGAAATCAGAGTTATTCTTATATCCTTGATGTATGAATTCAGTGGCGTAATTTGGCTCAGTCTCTATTTTTGTGTGCAAATGCAAATTTTCAAGTGTTTAGTAAAAATGTTGTAACAGTACTTGAATAAATAATTTGACAAGTTAAATTATATTGTTTTGTTTAAATTTAAGTATTACGATTAGTTACAAAACCTGATATTTTTACTTTTATGTAATCAACACCTAGAATACATTTTGATATTATAATTATTAAATTATAGCATCATATATTATTTTATAGCAGTATCTATAAAAGGATAACAAATTTCAATACTTAGTTCAAAATAAGTAAGTGAGTTATGTGCTGTGACATACAAACGAAAAAAGTTTATGTTTACTAGTCACACCCCCTAATAGATGTTTGTCTAGATATGCCAAAAAAAAAAAAGGTAGGTAAAGAGTGTAATAGGTAGCAAAATTTACAAAAGATAGGAACTGACTTGGCTAGTGAAAATGTAGCACTTACACCACCGCATTTTCAAATTATTATACATTTGTTTAGCAAGTAAAACAAAAAGTAATTTTCGTCACGATGTAATTTTATGGGAGGGCAGTTACCATGCGTGACAGTGTGGCACATATAAAGCAGTATATATATCAAGCTAAATTACGTGAATTAGATCCGCTGACACTTTTTGTGCACTGCTATGCTCGTATTTTAAATACAATATTCAATAACTAACAATGTTTAACTATTCGAATAATTCAATATTTCAACACCTTTTGGGTACATGGGCCTGTCGGAATGTTTGTGAATACTCGGGGAAAAAATGTATTTCACGTCGAATCTGTTACATGCATTGATTATTAGGTTATATTTTTTTTTCTGAATTTTTTATCACTGTTAAAAACGACAGAACGCAATAGTTTTTCATAAAATAAAATGTATACACAGTACTAAAGAAATTCATTATATCCCGTTTCCACCGTTATCCCTATCACAGTTGATCGTTGCTGCTTGTAATTTATCTTTTAAAAAAGATATACTCCGCTGTCTACGATAGCGAAATTAAATGATAATAATAGTTTTTTCTATAAGTATCGTCGAGGTTTACCCATAAATAAAAAAAAAAAAAAAAAAAAAAAAAAACGCATTTTTCGTTCCAAAAATACCGAAAACCCTGTGCCAGCTACTCATTAGGGTTTGAATTTCGAGATCAAAAATACACAGTGGCCTTCATCTTGTTTTTCATGTCGAGTGTGTATAAAATGTCTTCAATATTGGTATAAAACGGTCGGTTTGTACAGTGGACTGACATAAGTATTGCTAAGTCATATTGTTGAACACACTCACAGCGGTAATTGAACCGAACGCGAAAAAACACATCAATATCAACGCGGCAAACATACTTGTGGCGAAATATCGCGTTTTTACACGCGAACCGGATAGATGAAATTATTTGCAAAACACTAGTATAATATTTAGTTTTATACACCCGCACTACAGTTTTATAGTGTCGTGCAAATTTATTTTTTCATTCGTTTTTCAATTGGCCGAGTTTTTGATCTTATCGAAACCGCCGTCGTATACACAATTAATTTGTACAATTTTTTTTTTTTTTATGCGTAATTTTTATAATAGTATCTACTGATAAATAATTTTTTGCAAAAAAAAAAATTAAATTATAACCATCGCGACCTTGGTCGGTCCGTGATTAAATAACTTACCATTTTTTTTTTTTTTGTTTTTTTTTATTGAATTGCATTTAGGTAATTTGAAATGTCTGTAATTTTCCAAACACTGAACTATAGGTATATAGGTAACTGCATGCAGTACACATTATATTCGAAATCACTTTTAAAATTCAATTTCATTGTTGCCTGTACACGCAAATATGATAACACATTAACAATAACATAAATGTGAACAATATTAGATACATACATACATATATTCATACATTTATACTTCATATAGGTATTTATTTTGTTGAGAATAACCTCTAAAATAATTTTTTTTTTCTGACAATAATTACATTGTTTTATATATATATATTTGTATTATTAATAACCGATATTTTAACTTCCTACTGCGTAGTTCGGTAATTTCTGTTGATTGGTGTAAAGTTTATTTTAACACCGAAAATTGCCTATTATTTGTAACTTATAACGCAGTATAGTTGATGTTGGTGTTGATAGCTATAATTTAGTGTGTCGAGATAATATTTTATAGTTGGGTGAAAATAACGGATAGCTATTTTAAATTTAGAAAAACTGTAAAAATATTGTTTTATTTTTTTAACCTACACCTACACCATTCATAACAATATCGAGGGGACAAAATGTAAAAATAAATCGTCAACGACATATCGTCTAATCACATCAGGCAAATCGCATCCTTGGATAATTGAACCCCGCCCAGTAAGATTATGGCATTCTAGGATAATCACACCTCCGGTTTTAAAATCTTATAGGGTATACATATAACTTCTAAAATCATAAACCGGGCTTGTACAATTATCATAATGGACAAACAACATCCAATTTTAGTTTCCAACAGCAGTACGATTAATTTAAGATATCTATGTGATATCTATAATTAATACCCAATAAACAAGAGGTTAGATTTTAAGCTAGACACCTACGGTTGTATAACCGGCTTACTGTCCTCCTATAGATTAACGTGTTTGGACAACACCGTACATTTTGAAAAAGAACGAACGAGGATCTTTATAACTAATGGTTTTAGAAGAATTTATAGATACAGATATAGGCGAGTACACGAGTGTTCTGCGACTGAAGCCGATAGATATTTTCGATATTCTGTGGAGTCTTCTCTTCGAGTCTCCGGTCTGGTGAGACCAAAATGCAACGAATGAATATACTATCTGTGTAAATATTATATGCAATTCTGAACGTTATTACATAATCTGTTCGTGTAAATCTATAGACTCTGTTGTGATAAAAGTCAGACCTTAGTTAGATACACAATTGGATTTGTAATTTTTCCAGGCACATATTATACTCTTTTAATATATTATTCATGTTAAGATCTTTGCTAGTAAAATTAAACTTTGAGGTTTTCAAAACTTGTTCGATTATTCAAATCCCGTCGCACTACTACTGGCTCTAAAAACAGAACCTAATCATATTAAACTATACTCGCTTGAAACGCTTACTAACTTCTTCTCCAATCTCAAAAACGAAGTTAGTTCTATGTGTAAACACGGAGCTTGAATTATTAGCTTGCTAGTTAACTTGCATTAGCTTGAAAAACTAGTTTTGTATGTACTGAGTATATACAGGGTGTAACAGGACTATTTGATATTTTTACATGTAACTAAAATGTTGAAATGTCTAATAGTCCAGTTACACTCTGTATATAGGTATCCCGTCATATTTCGATGCGATTTTGATCGGTGCTCAGGTAAAGTTTTCCAATATAATTTGTACCCAATAACCTGCCGGTGAATTACGACGGGAAGTATAGACACCCGAAGACAATAAAATACGCCTCTAGAGATATGCTGTTTTTCTGAGATGACGGAACTACCGATGCATGGTTTTAGGAAGTATGTATATATCCTTGGACTTTAGTTCCGGGGGTCCGAGATTCTTGTCACACGCGTTCGATGTTTGACTCGTATAATTTCCCACGGTCGTAATTGTAATTTTGTTTGAAAACCGTTCAAATATTCTAATCTTTATAGTACGCTCGTCATATTATTTAAAACATACACAAGGCCGCTATTATATTATTGTCGGTTCGCGCGGTGCGGATGTTTCTTCACGCTATGGCCACGGAAATGTCGATCCGGCAAACCGATTATAAAGTATTATACTTTCGAATTACCGGGTGAATGAAATGTAATGAAAAACGCCCGAAACGGTCAACGATAATATTGTATTATTGTTGAAATAATTTGCTACAAATGTGCGCACGTACTTAATAGACCTTCATATGATTGCGTTTATCCCACGGACCGGATGGACGTTTTTTTTTTTTTTTACAAACAGGTATTTTACCGATTAAATACCGAGAATGCAAAAAGATAGAAAAACATTAGAGTTATAAAGTGCACCAAAGTCCTGAAAATATAGTCGAACGAAATACATTTCAAAGGCCATTTTCATTTTACAGTTTAATTATATAACATAGTCGATGGTCTCTTATCAATTTTTTTATTGGTACAAGATTTCTGATAGAATATATTATTCTTCTGGAGAACATATCTAGCGTTATCCTTAAAATGTGAAATTCATTGATACAGAAAAATAAATTGTGTTCCCCCGAATGTAAAAACCGTAAAAATGTTTAATAAAAGAATCGTGACGCCGTAATTTTATCAGTTTTCATATTTTTATTTTTTTGGTTTATCCCAATTATTACAAAAACCTACTTGGAAAATCGGAAAACGGCTTCCTCCCTAAAGAAACTAGATCTAAAAAATACAATATTTTTCTTGTCTTTTTTGATTGACGCAAGATTTCTAGTAGAAAACATACGTGACAAAAATGTAAAATCATTGAATTGAATTTGCACAAATGATTGTACTTGTTTGTATTATTGTAATTATTGAATGTATCTGGCTAATTGTATACATATAAGGAATTTAATTTAATTTATTGTAAAATGTATTACAAAAGTAAGTAATAAAAATGAAATTTTTCATATTGAAACAAGCGTAATAATTGTATAACAAAAACTAAAAACAATGGAAATAGTGACACCACCGCTAATATTTGCTGTTTTACCAATAATTTTCTTTCGGGTGTTCTCCCGATTGTTTTGAAAACCTTTTGGAAAATCAAAAAATGTTTTTCTTTTTTTTTTTTTTAATGCACCAATTAGAGACAAATTTCGTTCAGAAAAGGTACATCCGAGCAATACATCAGAGCAAGATTTCTTTTCGAGAAGTTGTTTACAGACAGAAAAGAAAAACCACAAATCATAGTAAAACCGATAGATCCCTGGCCACGTCCGGCTTCTAAAACGACAACGAACCACCCCGATACAACGGTTAGGTTGATTTCCGGGTTACTTTAATCCAACCATCGAATCGTACACGGCTGCGCTTTGTACTAATACCGTTCCGCTCGGAATTGTTTCCCGATCGCAATGGTTTATCGTTGCTTTCGGTGTATTGAACCACCGTATCCTATTATGTAGTACCTTTCGAACTTTTCACCCGCCACAGCCTGACATGCCCGCGGCGCAAAGTACGTTCGGCTATTTATGAATAGGAAAAGGCAATTACGATATGGTACCGATAACGTTATGAATATCGAATGGGAAAAGGTCATATGAGTGGGAGGGGGATGGGGGGATATATTCGCCCTCTCGCCATTCCGCCACCCCCCCCCCATCCCGTTCGAATAATTGTTGATATTCATAATTATCAACCGCGACTCGACAAAAGTCGAACGTGAGCATTTACACACTTTCTGGATCGTATCGCCTGAGGGAGGATACCCGCCGCGTGCGTGAATAATTAACACGCAACGCGCGCGCTCGAAGACCAATTATAATTGATTGTCCCTCGCCTATAATTAAAAATGAAAATTTCCAACCGACCGTATTACGCGGCCGAGAAAAATGTGTGCTCGTCGCATTGTAATTAATGCTTTATGTGCGCAATCAATAATTTATTATAATTGTGCGTTCGCACGGGTAATGCATTTAGGTACATGGTATTAAAATATAACGGGCACTCGTCAGGAATTCGCTTTATTTCCGAAAGACCGAGCCTTGGAAACAGCAGCGGGCCCCGTCAACAAGACGCTGCAGCACGCGCGCTTCTCATCGCGGCAATATTATTGTTTCGGTGTACTGGGCCCGGAAAACCGGACACGGCGGAGATGGCGACGGTGGACGGCGATGGCAACATGGTGGACGTCAAACTGTTCAAAATCATCGGGCTGTATCAGATACTGAGGCCGGCGCCCCAGGACGGCCGAACGGGACGTAAATACCAGAAAACGTTGATGGCCGTCATGTGGCTGATGTTGATGACGTACATCATACAAATCTCCGCTCTGTATTTCGCGATGAACGACTTCCAGCGACTGGCGCACCAGACGCTGGTGCTTAGCGTCTGCGTTGTAACCTGGATCAAGGGATACCTGTTGATCTGGAACGCGGACCGGATGTGGCCCGTACTGGAACTCGGCCGGTACGCGTTCACGTCGTCCGGACACCGGGACCCGTCCAAACTGATCCAATGCCATGCCACGCTGTCCACGATGGTCCGGCTGTTCGCCGCGTTTTACTATTGGGTGTTAGTCGCCTGGCTGGCGTCACCGTTTTTCATCCACGAACCAACGAAAATCATCCATCTGGACGGCACGGTCTCCAAACACCGGATGACCGTGTTGAACCTGTGGATGCCGCTATCCGAGGCGGAGTACAACTCGACGAAGTACTGGGCGGTCGTCTACGGAATCGAGGTGATGACCTGTACGATCAACGTGTTCATCTGGACCATGTTCGACTGTTACATTATGACCGTGTGCTTCGTGCTCGAAGCCCAGTTCCGTACCCTGGAGATCGCGTATACCGAGATCGGCCATCGCCAGCCCTGGGACGATTCCACTGTACCGGCGGCGGACGATTATGGCCGTTTGATTTCACACATCAAAGACAATCAGAAAATAGTCAGGTGGGTAAGGATGGAGACGTGAATGGGCAGTGCTGTCATTCAAAAATACCGTCGCCTTAATGTTTAATCGAATAAATCAATGATCAAATCTATTTTCTTTGGTGCTCGTTGTGTAGGAAGTACGAGGAATTTTTCACCATCATACAACCGGTGGTCCTAATCCAAATAGCTACGGGTTCGACATCCGGGATTCTACTGATATTCTTCTCTTCGCTAGTAAATCGAACAGTTTATAACAATTCGAACATTGTACTATTGTGTTTACTGTACATATTCGAACCAGTAGATAGCAGCCTATATAGCAAGAGTGTGGTCAACTCGTCCTGTTAATATTGAACGGTGGACCCGCGTTCGGTATCCACGGACGTTATTTCGTATTTCGTATCCGAACGGTACGGACCCAATAACAATTCGTGTAGTTGTTACGTTCGCAACGTAAATCTGTTTGAACGGAATGACAGTAGAAATGTATGACAACACAATCGGAACGTAAACTAATTTCGGATTAGTAAAAGAACTATGTTATTATTATTATAATAGTTTATTTTTTTGAAAAGATAATGGGCCCCACTGAACAGGTTCGTGCGGGGGCCCATGAGTATTTATCGCTGTACATTGTTATAATATATTTACTTTAATTATAATATTGTGATCGATGATACATTTTTATTATCTACTAGCCGTCCCGCACGGCTCTTTGTCCGTGTGAATATTGAACGAGAAAAAAAAATGTAAAAATTAAAAACGTGTTTCCCCGTGATTCCCTTAGAGCGAAGAAGTTTATGGTTTTACAAAGATGTTTTTAATTTTTTTTTTTTTTCATCTGTGCGCGACTTTTCTACCAGAATACTTGCTCAGATGTCTACCTTTTCTGAAAGAAAACCGGTGTGTGCAGGTACTTTATGGAGATGATTTATTGATTTTCTCAAAAGTTTTTTCATCAAATGCGAAAAATCGACAAGAAACGGGAACATTTAGGAAATATAATAAATATAATATTACGATTTTTTTTTTCTGTGAACAACTTTTCTACCAGCAATTTTACTCAGACTTTTAATGATAGCAATGTTTATAAAACGAAATTTCACTAGGTAGGCACTTCAAAGAGGTCATTTTTTAATGTTTCCAATAGTTTTCCCAGCAAATGTGAAAAACCGGGATAAAACGTAGGAAAACTGGGAAATCGGTAAAACATTAAACACATTTTATTAAAGAAAATATATAAAGCCTTTTTAATTATTTTACTATAAAATTATATATATATTGTTTACAAAGCATCACTATCAATTGAACTCCACTCAGAATCGTTTTTTTCGTAAGAAATGGTTTATCGTTGCTTACAGATATACATTAATCTCCAAACCTTCCCACTTATACTTATTCCCCCTTAACTTTTCACCTATACCAGTAGCTGCACCCATCCCCATTATCTTACCTTCATTTTAAAAAAAACATTTTCTTTTCATCCTTTAAGGGTTTAATTTTTAATAAATTCTTTCTCGACGGTTATATTCCGAACCCACTCCCCACCCTATTTTCGCGATTTAGGCTCATTTCACCGAATCTTATCTCGCCGAACACCCATTTTACCGAATCATAATAAATACTATAGGTACCGCGTAACTAAATTTTGTTCGTATTACGTTTAGAAAATATTATTTTATGATTTGATTAACTATGTATAGGACACGACGGTAGTAAAAAAACTTAATATATCATTTTACATATTTAGTGATTTTTACAAATCGAAAGAAATTTCTAGTTTTAAATTTATAAAACTAAAAAGTCAATTAAACCAACCATTAACCTTATGAATTATTATTTTTAAATATTTTATGCAATTTTAATTCGAAAATAATTATACATTTATATTATACGTTTACTGTACATTTTACTAATTCGACTTCTATGACATGTTTAAATAGCAATTATAATGTTAATAATTCAAAAATGTGTCAATATATTTTAATTTTATACGACTATACGCTATTTTGTGAACCACTGTGTCTCGGGACGCAATCGGGATATTTAGGATAAAATAGGACGACCTGAATTCGGGCCGCAATCTGGCAAACCCGAAAAATTGCGTTTAGATATGCCATGCTTGTCCATTTCAGAATTTAAATTGAAATATGCATTTTAGGTATTAATATATTTTAATTCGTATGATTAATCAATTAGTATTTACTGCGCTTTTGCAACTCATAATCTGTCTCCTAACGTTTTGTAATCTTTCTTATTTTTACCATAGAACCATATGAGAGTCTAATGTAGGAGACAATATGTCAGTCCATGGATATAGATAACACTGATAACCAGGTCAATCAACTAGCGAGCGTTACACGGTTTGACCACTCTCTTGGTACTATATAAGCTCTCAATTCGAACCGAATTTGATACTTGGTTCCGTTTTTTTTTTTTTTTTTACGCTCGTTATATTTATATAGATGTACATGATCGGTTGGTCGCTTCTGTCCATACCAGTTTTGAAATTTTTCTCAGGTTTCGTAACAGTGACACTACAACTGTTTTTCTATTGTTACGCGTTCACCTACGTCGAGTCCGCGGTAAGAACAAAATGTTTGGCTACTCGAATATTAAATACGCGAGTTCTCTGCAATATATTATGTTATATTTTTCTATCAGAAATCGTCGTTGAATTTCGCATTGTACAATAGCAATTGGACGGAAATGGATTTGAAATTCAAAAAGACCATGCTGTTGGCCATGAATATGAATTCTTGTCACAAGCGCATTATGAAAGTGTCACCGACGTCCGTCATAAATTTGGAAATGTTTGCCAGGGTGAGTATTTTTGGAAATAATATTGTTGTCGTCCTTTTGTTAAGCGTTGAATTAATCCCCCAAAGACAGTATCGTACGCTATGCGCTGACGCGGTAATGCGTTTATACCGAAAATCCAAATTGAAATTTTTTTTTTTTTTTTTTTCATTTTTAACTGAAATCACCGTGCCGTAAAATAGCTCTGCAGTATTATCGGATTGAAACCCCGTTCGTTTTCAGGTGATGCGAATGTCATACACCATAGTATCGCTACTGCTAAACACTAGCGTCGAACAAACGGCCGACACATAACCATTGCATAATACATGAGTACATGGAATATAGGTACACTCTAGCGTGCACCCTGGACGCAAATTTAGCGTACGGTTGACAATAGAGGCCGAAGTTTGAATATTTGAATGTTTGCTTTGCTAGCCGTCGAATAAAACCGCCTGATAATATTATACGTATTGCGTTATTTGTTTTACCCCGATGAATAATCAACAGAGTTATTAACAATTTAATTATCCGAATACCCGCACAAAGAAACGGAGCAAATTATTATAGCCAGTCGGAGTTTTCGTGTTCGGGCGATCATTGTCGAACGCCAATCGTACGTGAAACCGCCGGTCGCATTCGTCGAGAACGCGCGACAGGCGCGTAAGGACAAAGTAACGTCCGAGTATTATAATGACGGGTCGCCCAAATGACGCGTAAGTATATTGAAAACCGCACGACGGATTCACGACAGCCGCCCGAGCGTGTAGTCCGGTTGGGTTGAATTTAAAAAGCTTTCCCCGAAACCCAATAACCTTTTCTAAATTACGCGGGCGAAAAGTTTCGCGTTCGTCGAGTGATTAGACTGCGGGGATTGCCGACATTTTTTTACTCAACCGCGCACTTGATCGTTTTAAAAATGTTCACGGTACACTTAAATGCATAAATAAATAAATAAATAACTAATAATGAATATACGTAATGCCATGACAATATATTGTGCTTGTTAAACGATACAAAATTTAATGGAATATTCGAGACTGGTGTTTTTGACGTGGTTTCAACCGAATAGTTGAGCTTTAGAACTCTTGTCGGTACACTCGCCTGTTTGTGATGTAAATAATTTTCGAAGAAATTTTTTCTAAAACAATTTCATTAATATCATCAGCCATTGCATTTACTCGGCGGCTAATTTTATTGTTGTGAAAATGGTACTTTAGACATAAAATCTTTAGACTCTTTACCCAACGTTGTTTCAACTGTAGCTTAACAGGCAGGTCCCGCTAATTTTTCGCCAATAACGCGAGAGTTCATATTTCTAGCAATCAGTTCTGCATCTTTAAATGATGCTCCAAGATCATTATCAGATACAGTCGCTATTTTTATTATACTAGATGCAGCTTTTTTTATTTGAATTTAAGAAACGTTCAAAGTATGTTTTGTCGTTAAATGCCTTTTCAATTTACTGAATACCATTAATTGCTTCATTACTTAACTTTTCACTACAAACGATGCAAACAGGTAAATGACAGCCAATATCGCCATTACACGTAAATCCAAAACATCAATAATCATCAGCATATAAAGGTTTGACTTGGGCGTGGAATAACGTTCTACGCCCGGATAGTTTTCTTTTCTCTCACACCCTAGGTAGGTGAAATAATTAGAAAGCGATAAACAGTGTCGTTGCGAATGTCTGAAGGAAGAAAGCGCTGCGGATCGACGACGTTGACCGTCACGCGGACGACGGGACCATGGTGGACGTTTGTCTGTTCAAAACCATCGGGCTGTACCACTTGTTGTGGCCGACCGCGAGCGTCGGAACGTTCGGTATCTGGTTCCGGAAGGTATTACTAGTGATTTCTGCGCTGATTTCCGTCCTGTACGCCGTGCAGCTGAGCGTTTTGTACCTGGCCATCGGCGATTTCTCACGTCTCGCGTACATGGTACTGCTGATCACAGTCGCGTACACGTGCGTGTTCAAGACCTACGTGCTCCTCCGGTATGCCGACAAGATGTGGCCGATATTGGGACTGGCCGAGTACGCGTTCACGTCTTCGGGACGCCGGGATCCGTCTAAACTGGTCCGTTGTCGATACACACTGTCCACGGTGCTCCGGGTGTATGTCGGGCTCAACTACTGCACGCTGATCGGCTGGCTGGTCTTTCCGTTCTTCGTCCACGAATCCGTGCCCGTCACTAACCTAGACGGCACGATAGCGCAGTACCGGACCGCCATTTTCAACCTGTGGACCCCGCTGTCCGAACAGGTGTACAACTCGCCACTCAGCTTCACAACAATTTGCCTGGCCGAGATTCTCATCTGTTCGTACAACGTGCTCCTCTGGACCATATTCGACTGTTACGTAATGACCGTGTGCTACGCGATACACGCTAATTTCTACACTGTGATCGCCGGCTATCAGACTCTCGGTCAGTCCGGTAAATATATTAATGTACATAAATATTTTTTTAATTTCGTATTGTGGTCAGTATCGGAAAACTAGTTTTAAAAGTAGACAGCCGACGATAAACTTACTATGCTGTGTGTTTTCGCGTCAATTTTCGTTTTAGCCGTTACGAACATCTATCGTGATCAAAACACCCACTCGGAAACTGACCATTTCAAAGATCTGGTGATTTGCATTGAAGACAACCAGAAACTAATCAAGTAAACAAAAACCTATCTATATTGATTATGAAATAAATTACGTAGTGATCTATAAGGGCTATTGTTTTTGAACGGTTAAAAATTCGTCGGAACAATCCACGAATAATGAAACACGGTGAACAAAATCTATCAAGTCTTAAATAAACTTGTTATGGGAACGTTCGAGTCGAATATACCATGTATATATATATACATAAGTCGGCTAAAAGTAAAACTCTCACAATACAGGTATTCAAACAAATAATGAGTTTGCGTTATTGCAACATTGTTTTATAGGATTTTTGATGGTTAATCCCATTCTGTAATCAGTTCGTTTCAAAACACACAAGAACGGGTTTGAATTTAACCAGGAGTGCAGCGATTTCTTTGTTAATTTCGGTGGTTCCGTTAGTTACGTTAGTATTAATTCCTCAAGCCAATCAAATCAGCGCCAGAAATCGTATTATAATCCGTTTAAATAATATCGAAATTCGCATAATCCAAACTTCGGTCACAGAAAATCATATAGATAATGGCTAAAATCTTAAATTTTGAAGACCGCTTCGAGTTACTTACAATAAATTGTATAATACTAATGATTTATGGACTACTTCATTGTACTGAACAAACCATGTACAGTGTTTTCATTTTCTGAAAATGTGATTTTTGAACACGCATAAGTTTTACTCTTAGCTTAGGTACCCATATTCCATTTAATTAAAGCAATGCGAAATTCACAATCGTATCGTGACTTATACGTCAACTACAGTAGTAATTTTTGTTGATACAGGAAATATGATGAATTTTTCGAAATCATTCAATCCGTGGTTCTACTCCAAATATCAATGGGTTCGGTATCGGTTTGTCTGTTGATATATTTCACTTCGCTAGTAATAACTGAACACATTATTTTGAGCAAGTCGATGTAAGTACCAATTCGTTAAGACGTTCCTTTTTTTCTTTATAGATGTACGTGACCGGCTGGTCGCTTCTGTCCATACCAGTTATAAAATTTTTCTCCGGCGCTCTAGTCATGGGGATACAACTGTTTTTCTATTGTTACGCATTCACTTACGTCGAAATTGCCGTTAGAGAAAAACCCAAAGCCTTAGCTGTGTAATACTAAAAATTAAAACATTATATGATTTACTTTGCAGAAGTCTACGGTGAATTTCGGATTGTATAGTGGCAATTGGACGGAAATGGATTTGAAATTCAAAAAGACCTTGTTGTTGGCAATGCGTATGAATTCTTCTTATAAATGCACGATAAAACTTACACCGCTCTCCAATGTAAATTTGGAAATGTTTTCTAAGGTGAGTACTTGATAATGATTATCCCTTAACCTAAATCATAACATCAGAACGTGTCACGATAATATTTTTAGGTGATGAAAATGTCGTATTCGATAGTGTCGTTGTTACTGAACACGAGCGTTGATCAATCAGTCGAGAAATGAACATAATTAAATCGAACCACTGTATACACACAACAATTTTGTAGTTTTTAGTTTTTGTTTATGCAGAGCTACCAACTTATACGATGGAATCAGGAAACTTACAATACAAAAGTACAACGCATTCACAAGATAAAACCGTTATATTTTATATATTTTAATTATAACTTATATACGATTAGTTTGATTCAATATATTTGTTTTTTGACTTTGACGATGTAATATAATCATAAAAGTTTAAAATATTTATTTGCAACACATAAAGTGTCTTGTTGTTTTTTATTTTTTGGAGAGTTTAAACCTTTGATGTTCATATCTCCTATTTTATATCGTTCAAAAAGAATTGACGAAAATCGTGAGATTTGAATAAGTGAGAAACGAATATAAGTAAATTTCGGTTATTCATATTTTATAGTAACTTGTTAAATATTTATTAAAATTTTAAGCTAAAACGGTACACAAAAAAACTGCTTTGTAAACCCTTAAACCCTTTGTATGCCAATGGCCATAGTCGCCGAGGTTTAATGTAAAAAAAAAAACTGCTATCTCCCGTAGTACTCGTAATAAATACTCGTGTTAAATTTCCGAAGATTTTACGATGTCAAAAAAAATGTTATCTTCATAAAACCATATTGAAACTATAAAACCTTTAAAATGTCTGTTGGCCAATTTCAAGTCTCGATTAAACCGAATTACAAAGAAAAGACATACTTGAAAATAACTATATATATATTTCCGGTTTTTTCCAAACATTAATTAATTAATTATTTGACCGACCCAATGCACAAACTAGACAAAATTGACTACCTGAAACCACTTCTGAAGTTAATGATCGGACTAAGATTTCGGGTAAAATAGTTGTAAACAGACATTAACAAAATAAATATAAAAATATTAATACAAATGACATAATCATACAGTTTTTATATTTTAGAAAAAATGTTTTACGCGCTCAATACGTGATACAGGTTTTTTATTATAATATAATATCTTTTAAACTAATATCATTAATTATAAATAAAATAAATAAATTATTCGAGATAGTTTTATGGCTTTAAATTTAAAAAAAAAAAATACTGAAATCAAGTACAAGAACAAAACTAAAGTCAAATTTTAGACTTTTAGATCAATATGAAATATAAGTAGCATGCGTCATTTTATTTCACCTTTTTCATCGCCTTGTTTTCCTCAATACGCCAATCGTGAGCGGTACAGTGCATATTGGAGTTTTACGTATTTTATTTATTCCGCCGCGCTTCATTGCGGGACACTGAGGTAGAAAACACGAGAACAACGGAGAAAAGACGTATAGGAAAGAGAGTGTCTATCCTAGCCGGGTCTTGCTCCATCACTGATTACCGAGTAGACATGTATATTAAAACCTTGAGCAAAACAGGAACGCTCACGCGAGCAATAACGAATTCGATACTGGACTATGTCACTGTCGCACTGAACGGCTGACGAGAAAACTGCGTGTCAAAGAAGTTGTGCATTCGACGGAGGACTTCTCTGGGCAATTTCAATCGAAAGGTTTCCAAACGTACCGGGAGAAAGATACATAAATTTATGTATAAAAGTATGTAACAGACACAAAACAAAAAATTTTTATTTATTTAATTAATATTAATATTGAAATTGTGAAATTCCACAAAAATAACGAGATCGGCATTAATAACGTCAGTATTTCACGGATCTCGGGAGTTCCGAGAACTAATGTAAACATATTTTTCGGAACACGGGTTTAAACTCGCGATCTCTAGGATGACAATAGGTAGGTAGCACCACTAGACTACAACAGATGTAATTTAAAATTGACAACGTAGTATAATTATTTAACATAACATATAATATTCGCATAATACCAAAACTTCTATAGTCTATAATTTCGAAAACTAAGTCAGTCCGTTCAATTCTGACTTCACCGTCGTTCTTCGGCAATTTACATATTATGTTCAAAACAAAAGATTAAAAAATTAGATTTGTTCTACATAATTTTTTACTCAAATGATTTCCGTCGAAATTAAATATTAAAATTACTTTATAAAAAAAATACTACATTTAATAGCAATTTTTTTTGTTTTTTCGATCACAAAGTCTAAGGCTTCATAACCCTACTGTTAATTGTTCAAGCATTTCTATTTAGTGTAACAATTTTATCACACTGCGTTATCTACCGAATACAAATTACGTGCAAAGCTCCCAAAATTGAAATGTCTATAAATAGCTTAAAAATAGCTTGAATTTTTTTGAAATATTTCTATGTCTAGAAAAAGCAAATATAAGTTTTTCAAATCTCTACAAAAAATATGTTTAACTGAATTATTACAAATAACAAAATTGAAAAAAATATTAAAAGTATTATTTTCGAAAATTTCCCGTTTTCTTACGTTTTATTCTGTTCTTTCCGTGATATTATGAAAACCGCTTAGAAAATCAAAAAATAACTTCCAATAAGTACCATCTGGACAATATTTCCTTTCATAAATGGTGCTGCACGTATATACCGGAGCAAGATTTCTGGTAGAATTTTTGTTCACAATATAAATAAAAAAAAAAAAAAAAAACATCTCTATAAAACCAATACATTCTTCGTTACACTCAGAATAATAATTAGACAATTTAGTATATTAATTTTATATACAGAACGTAGCGAGGGTCTTATTGGTTTTACTATGATGTCTGTGTTTGTCTTCTGTCTGTAAAAAACTTGCCGAAAACAAATTTTACTCCGCGATATATAGAGTGTATCACCTTTTCTAAAAGTAAACTTTATCAAGTTAGTGAATTAAAGTGGTTTCTTCCAAACAGTTTCTGATATTGTAAAATTGCTAACTGAATTAATTCAGTTTATGACGTTATGAAACAATAATATATCGATAAAAAGCATTACATAATATAATCTACAACAACTTAAGCGGTTACTATCACCACCGCCACCACCACCCCGTGTTAGGCGCCATTGCTTGGAACATCTGTAGCATGTAAATTAATAGTTAATATAACGTCAAATTAGCTCTCCAAAATTAAAAATAATAATATACTTAGTTTAAAATAATTACGGTGTACCTATGGCTAAAGTAGTTAGGTGGATATTTTAAATATTGAATATACGAATTGCTAAACCGAAATTTTTGAAACGTAATTGGAGAGTATCATTTGTTATTTGCTTTGGACGCCGCCGAATAAATAAAAAAAAATATTATTAAGTTAATAGTACCCGAAATATTATACGTACTATAATTACTATATATTCCCACTGAACCATCTAATTATCATGAAAACTATTGTTGAAAATAAAAAAATTACCCTTATTTAATAAAATATTATAATAATATAATTAATTAAAAAATTAATAATAATTGTATATATTATTATTATTACATATTATATTATATTAACTACAAACTCTGAATATCCGAGCTATAAAACAGCTATAAAATAAAAAACTAAACTAAAATATTATATAATTTATATTATATTATAATATAAATGTGTAAATAATTAATGTATACAATTATTAAAATATAATTTTTTTTTTTTTTTTGTGTAGAGTCCGAACGGCGGCGTCCAGACGGCTTCGCCCAATTGTCCTAGTCCCAATATTTTTAGACGATGAAAATGTTGTATTCGACAGCGTTGTTGTTACTGAACAAAAGCGTTGAACAACGCTAAAAATGAATATAATTAATTCGAACAATTGTTTACATACCAACCATTTCGTAAATTTTGGTTTTTGAAAGCTACCAACTCATATAAACAAATCAGGAACCTAAAATACAAAATTACAACGCATTCCCAAAATGAAACTGTTAGTTAAATCGAATTCACTTAATGTTCATTAAGAAATTTTGAATAATTTAAAATTTATAATTGTAATCAACGGTAAATCAATGCCAGTGAAAAACGAATATGAACAAAATTCGATTGTACATATTTTATTTTTATATGTTAATCGCATTCATAGTGTAAAAATGTCACGTGAAAACACAAAATTTGAGCAACAAAATGGTTAAGGAGGGAGTTTAAATCACCAAAAGGCACATTATGGATACCTACAAACACCATGCACACGAAAAATTGCATTCCCCAACAGGCTTCATTTAGAAAGTTTGTTGAGGTGTACACAGCTGAAGAATACCTTCCTCCCGCACAGCATTTAAACGGACTACAAATTGTAATTCAACCAAAATGTCATCACTTCAATCTGCCTATTGAAATCTCTTGGTCCAGAGAGAGCCGCTTAAATTGTCCAAATGTACCGGGACAACGATGTATACTTAAATATAACAGACACAAAACAATGAAATTTAAGTTATTTATTTATTTACTTCAATACGAGATTTACCCGATTACTAGTTTTAATACAAACAAAACATGCATAACACACACAAGAACATTTAGTCCAATAGAACTCTAGTTGATGGATCCTTATTTGATAGATTCATCATTCTATTTAATGGTTGGTTTTGCGAAGAAAGAAAACAAATACATATGACGGGCATGGAAAGACAAATGATATTTATTTACGGGCGAAATTCCACAATAATAGCGAGATCGATACGTATTAATGATTTCCGTAATTCACGGATCTCGGAACAACTGCAGCATATAAATTAATAGTTAATATAACGTCAAATTAGCTACTCAAAATTAAATATAATAATATACTTAGTGTAAAATAATTACGATACACCTACGGTTAAAGAAGTTCGATAGATATTTTAAATGTTAAATGAACGAAAGGTCTAATCGACATTTTCGAAACGTAATTAAAGAGTCTTGTTTGTTATTTGCTTTGTTCGCCGCCGAATAAAAAACAAACGTCAAGTAAATAGTACCCGAACTATTATTAGACGTACTTATTATTATATATTCCCGATGAAACAAACGAGTCGCTAAAAAAATATTTATACGAATTATGATGGAATGTCACTAATAGCTAAGGTAGGGATTTAAGTCGGTGTATTCATTTCGATGAAATATTTTCGGACGATCGTTGATCA